GTTTCTCTCAGTTGCTCCAATTCTGCTTCTTTCATGAAAATCAAAATATTAACCACAGTGTCTGATTCTAAAGACATAATAAGACATAGACACTGCCCGGTTTTTAATTCAAGCAAAGGGAGAAATTAAACAGTTATGGTTTGTATTTTGGTTTATATACCGCAAAAATGCCGACTCTCTGAATAGGTTGCCAGAAAATTTTCAACCAGTGTGCAAATGCTACGAACGGCTAAGTCATTTATTTGTTATTTATAATTGTTATTATTTGTTAAAAAAAAATTATTGTTTTGAATAGCTGCTTTTGCAGGCCTCATCAATCTGGAAGAACTAGACCTATCAAACAATTTCCTACAAAATATTGAATATGGCGTCCTAGAACATTTATACTTTTTGAAAATACTGCGGCTTAAAGAAAACCCTTGGAGATGCGACTACAACATCCATTATCTTTTCTACTGGCTGAATCACCACTACAATGTTCACTATAATGGCCTAGAATGCCGAAAACCTGAAGAATATAAAGGATGGTCAGTTAGAAAGTACGTCAGAAGTTATTTTGAGGAGTGTCCCAAAGATAGGCTACAGATTTATCCAGATGTATTTGAGGATAACGAAACTGAAGAACCTACTCCAAAACATTCGGTCATTGTCAGAGTAATAGATTAATTGGTCCACTAGTATACTTTTGGAATTTTTTTTTATAAAAGGAAGAAGCATTTATATATATTTTGATACTGTAATTGTGGTGTTTGTTCATGATGGACGATCTGGTAAACTATTTTTAGTACTAATCACGAGACGGCATCAATTGCATTGTTCTTTATAAACGTACTATTTTTAATTGGTTTGGAGTCGTTTTTGCCCTATTTGGTAATTATCTGTAAAAAGAAGGAATATGCAGCTAAACCACTTCTTGCAAAAACATAAACCTCTGCAGAAAAATGTGCAGCCTTTCCATCTAACTGGAAGCTAATTTTATGGCCGGTTCAGCAAATCCCAACCCTGGCTGGCCCTGCCCACCCTGCCCCACTCCACCTCTCCCAGGAGTCCCCAGGTAAGTACAAGGACCGCACAGAGGCTCAGGAAGGGTGAAAAATGGGCCTCCAGAGGGCCTCCGGAGCCCAGGGAGGCTGTTTTTGCCCTCCTGGAGGAAAGCCTCCGGAGCCCAGGGAGGGCGAAAACTAGGCCACGCCCACCCAGCAACACCGACAGAGAACTGGTTGCTAAAATTTTTGGAGCCCACCCCTGAGTCTTTCCAAACATAATGTGTGATGACCCGGGGCGTGACACAAAAATTACCAAGTCACCAAAATAGAAGAAAGTCCCTTGAATGCCTCCAACTTGGCCCCAATGTCCAATTATCCTCGGCTGGATATCAAACTCTTAAAGAAAACAGTTTACGGAGGGAGTAAATGCAGTCCGCACCCAAAGTAAAGTTAATGTGAAATAAAAAAAACCAACACAAACCACACTGAAGGAATTAATACAGCAGGCAAGGATGATCAATTGCAGACTTCTACCAGATAACGCAGCCACCAGAGGTGGGAGGAAGCCAAAACACAGATAAGCTTCGACAAGAGCTCCACGTTTTGCTCCCAGCACTGGCCCATGCGCAGTTTGTCCTTTTAACCAGTCCTCCCAGCTGCAGCCCATGAAGGGGATCAGGGCCCCTTCCTCCCCCGTAGACCATGCCACTCACATTTCTCCCTTATCCACTCCTCTCTGCGTGCCCTAGGATGAAGAGGGGATGGGCCTGGGTCTTCCTCTGAATGCCCATCTGGTCTGTGCCCTTCCCCAGTTTCCTCCACAAGCACTAGAGCTACACTCCCACTCCTTGTCGGCTGTTCCTCCTCTCCCTCGGAATCAGACTCCAACAGGGGCATGACATAATGTACGTTTACCCAGTACAGGTAGTCCTCGACCTACAACAGTTCGTTTAGTGACCGTTCAACGTGGTGGCTCAGTTACAAAAAGAAGAAAAATAATATAAAATAGTATTTGTCTGAAACATCAATGGATGAAACATCAATGGATCCTACTGTAAAAAAATCTTGAAAGTTCTTTGAAAGGTGTATATTGCCATACCTTCCCATATGTCAGGCACCAAAGATCAAAACCACACGGGAAGGTCCAATTAAATTGATGTACTTGCAGGTAGTCCTCAATTTATGACAAGTGAGCCCAACATTTCTGTTGCTAAGCGAGACATTTGTTAAGTGAGTTTTGCCTCGTTTTATGACCTTCCCTGTCACAAGAAATGCCTAGCTCCACTTCTTAGTCTCTGAGGAGTTCTTGATACTCCTCTGCGCTTGCTTTCTTGAACCAAACTACGTAACATCATCACTTCTAGAATCTGATGATGTTACCTAGTTTGATAATAAAACGTCTGCAAGAAAACAACCAAGCTCAGAGAGCAACCGAGGACCTTACTGTTCAACCCTGAGCTACCAATATTCCTTGCCTTTCCCTAGGCACAAGGGAACCTCCTCTACAAACTCATATTAAGCTTCATTGCTTCACACAATGTTAAATCTTTTCACATGAACACCAGAACTACCAGTGCTGTCCACAGACGCAGCGATCCAGATTTTACAAATTGGCCGGGGCTGCTTTCTCAAAAACCAGCCAATTTCCCCGCCCCACTCCAATTCATGCAAAATCTATGAGTAATTTGAGATTTGTTCCAACACATTCAGACTGACCCATTTAATCACAGATCCTCAGGAGACTAATAGCAAAGCCTAGACGAGAGCCGATGCTCACATAACCACCAGCCCCACCCTGTGTGTATGTTGCGCACTGCCTCCCAAATGCCAGAGGTTCTTCAGAAGTCTTGGGCACGGCTTACTAGGGAACTGTAACAAGCAGACACAGGTAGAAGATTAATTCCCAGCTCCGGTATACTGGGTTTAGCACCGTTATAAACACGTTTTGATCTCCTGCTGATTGACACCTCCATCTTTGCAACAGAGGTGGTATTCAGCAGGTTCTAACCAGTTCTGGAGAACCAGTAGCAGAAATTTTGAGTAGTTTGGAGAACCAGCAAATCCCACCTCTGACTGGCCCTGCCCCCATCTATTCTCTGCCTCCTGAGTCCCAGCTGATGGGCTGGGTCTTCTTTGGTTTCCCTGCACAGGAGAACGGAGCTGAAAAGCAGGTTAGTGGGGTGGGGAGGGAATGGGATTTTGCAGTAACCCTCCTCCTGGAATGGGGAGGGAATGGAGATTTCACAGTATCCTTCCCCTGCCACGCCCACCCAGCCACGCCCACTAAACCAAGCCCACAGAACTGATGGTAAAAAATTGTTTGAATCCCACCACTTTGCAAGCAAAGTCAGGAAGCAACTTATCATACTTGGAAGAAGAGAACTCGGGGAGTGGATGATTTAGATGGCATGGGTAAGGAGGAACACGCAGCAGTAACCGTGTGTTTTGGAAACAGGGTGAAGTTCAGTCCATGGATTGAAAAGAGGTAGCACAGGACCAAGGATCAAGCAAAAGATGTAGTGAGGCTACAAGCAAGGCTTTCCTTTTGGTCGCCACAATATAAAGGAAATGTTGAGACTCTAGAAAGAGTGCAGAGAAGATTGACAAAGAGGATTAGGGGACTGGAGGATAAAACATTCGAAGAGCGGTTGCTGGAATTGGGTATGTCTAATCTGATGAAAAGAAGGACTAGGGTTGACATTATAGCAGCCTTCCAAGATCTCAGGGGCTACCCCAAAGAAGAGGGAGTCAATCTATGAACCTGGGGGCAGGACAAGAAGAAATGGGTGGAAACTAATCAAGGAGAGAAGCAACTTAGAACTAAGGAGAAATTTCCTGACAGTGAGAACAATCAATCAGTGGAACAACTTGCCTCCCGAAGTTGTGAATGCTCCAACACTGGAGGTTTTAAGAAGAGATTGGTTTTTTAAGAAGAGTTTTCTGAAAGGGTATATATGGTCTCATGCTTGTCCCAATCTCTTTTTCAACTTCCTTGGATTGAGCATGGGGTTGGACTAGAAGACCTCCAAAGTCCGTTCCAACTCTATTATTCTGTGGTCTGCAAGAAGTGCAGCAAAGGAGGACTTACTGTTTCACTTTACAGCATGTAACGTAAGCTTGTAAGGAATTTAGTAGCCAAAGATCATTCTTAACTTTTAGGAAAGCCAAGGAATGCCCAGAGATTGGGAACAGAGCAAAAAGTAGACAAAGCTGTGTCGGAGAAATGAGTAGGTCCTTTTTTGGTTATTTTGAAAGACAAACACGCTCATTTTAGGATTTACAACAAAGGTTTCATCTGCTTCCCATCATGTAATGAAATATCCCTTCAGCAGTTCAAATCAGAGTGGTCTTTGGAGCTACGAAAAGGGACACAGAGGCCACAGGCTCTTCACCTTTGTTGTAAACATATCAGCCTGAATTGGGTATCTGGAACCAATCTGCTTTCTCCAGTCCTTAGAAGTTTAGCATTGATTTGTTTCATTTGCAAACTCAAAGCAAGTTACTTCATATGGTTATAAGTCATTTGTTCCTTAATAATAGGAGGAAGGAAGGAAGGAAGGAAGGAAGGAAGGAAGGAAGGAAGGAAGGGGAAAAGACAGAAATATGAAAAAAGGAGGGAGGGAGGAAAAAGGAAAGAAAGGAATATGAAAGAAGGAAGGAAAGGGAAAATAAAGGAATATGAAAAGAGGAAGGAAAGAGGGAGGGAGGAAGGAAAAAGAAAAGAAAGGAATATGAAAGAAGGAAGGAAGGAAGGAGGGAGGAAGGGAAAAGAATATGAAAGAAGGACGGAAGGAAGGGGAAAATAAAGGAATATGAAAAGAGGGAGGGAGGAAGGAGGGAGAAAGAAGAAGGAATAAGAAAAGAGGAAGGAAGGAAGGAAGGAAGGAGGGAGGGAGGGAGGGAGGGAGGGAGGGAGGGAGGAAGGAAGGAAGGAAGGAAGGAAGGAAGGAAGGAAGGAAGGAAGGAAGGAAGGAAGGAAGGAAGGAAGGAAAGAAGATAACATAAAATACTCACCTATACATTTAAAAGCAAGCCAGTGTAATGTAGCACACCCATGAAGGCTCAGCTGCACCACATTAGTGTGCCACTTCCTCAAAATGCGTTGTGCCACACTATCATTTATAACGTCCTTCACTTTGGAAAAATCAATCTAAAAAAATAAAATACGCTGCTTGTAGGAATTACAAAAAGATGACAACATTTCACCTACGACACGGTCCTTAAGGTTAAGAACGTTGCCTGAAAAAAACACTTCTAGCAGTTAAACCAATTGGAATTGTTCCTTAAATAACAGACACTCCTCATTTAGCAACCGTAGGCGAATACAATGGTAGTAAACAGTAATAATATTTTTTTTTAAAATGTGTGCATTTATGATGAAATTTCACATGGTCATATGATCAAAATTTGGGCACTTGGTAACCAGCACGTATTTCAGTGGTGGTATTCTACCGGTTTAGCCCGGTGCTGCCAAGCCAGTAGCGCCGATGAGCAGCGGAGACCAAACCGGTTCTCTCCAACGCTCTGCTGTTGGGCCCACCTGGCTCCCATACTAATCTTTATGTTTTCCTTTTGAAGCAGATTCGCTGAGCAAGCACAGCAGAAGGGATTTTCATAAAATTGAGCGCAGCAACAACTCAACAATACCTCATTTATCCATGGACGTTCCAATTCCAATTCTGCTTGCAAGTAGAGGACCTAATCATACTACATGTCTAGGACTGTCATGCCCCTGTTGGAATCTGATTCCGAGAGGCCGAGCAGCTCACAGGGAGTGAGTGTGTGGCTCTGTTGGCTGTGGAAGAAACTGGGGAAGGGCAACGTCCGGCTGGGCAGAGCAGGAAAGAGGTAGAACAAGGCAGAGGGAATTCAGAGGAAGATCCAGGCCCACCCCCTCTTCATCCTAGGACACGCAGGAGGAACGGAGAAGGGAGCAATGTGAGTTACCTGTTTACAGGGGAGGAAAGGGCCCTGATCCCCTTGATTAGCTGCAGCTGGGAACACAGTGTTTAAAAAGGGAGGTTGCGCACAGCAACTCGTGGGAAGCACATTGTGAGTTATCTTTTATGGTCGAGGCTTATCTGGGTTCCTGGCGTCTTCCCAACTGTATGTGTTTTGTTGGCTTTTGAAGTCTGTAATTCCTTTTCCTGCCCTGTCCAGTTAATTGCTGCAGTGTGGTTTGTGCGGATTTTTACTTACAGTGTATATGTACTTTGTTTTCGGACTGAATTTCCTTCATTTAAAGACTGTTCTTGAGAGAGTTTTTTCTCCAGCCAAAGGTAACTGGACATTGGGGGCAAAGTTGGACGTATTAAAGGGACTTTTCTTACTTATGTGACTGTGTTGTCTTTGTGCCACGCCCCAGGTCATCACAAGGATGATATGTCCATTTAAAAAGAATTACTCATTTCTTCAGCTTTCCCCAATGGATTCTGTTTTTTTAAAAAAACAAAATATTGTTGACCTTTGGTTTGAAGCAACTCTACTTACACTACTCCATATGGTAACCACTTGCGTCATAGCCTTCCAGGTTTGGCAAACCTGAGCACACCTAGCCAGGTCCACTATGTTTAAATACCGGAAAACCTAAATTCAAAACAAAGAAGAATGTTAACGTGCAAAGGATTAAACAATAATATTCGTCTCTAAAACAGCCAGTATCTTCAAATGTAATATTTAATAAAAATAGTAGTTTTCCACAGGACCTTTTAAAAAGTAATTTTACAATTGACTCTTAGGGTGCTATAAAAATATTAGCTGGACCAGAGGTGGCATTCAGCAGATTCTGACCAGTTTTGGAGAATCGGTAGCGGACATTTTGAGTAGTTTGGAGAACCGGCAAATACCACCTCTGACTGGCCCCATCCCCATCTATTCTCTGCCTCCCGAGTCCCAAGCTGATCGGCTGAGTCTTCTTTGGTTGCCCTGCACAGGAGAATGGAGCTGGAAAGCAGGTTAGTGGGGTAGGGAGAGAATGCGGTTTGCAGTATCCTTCCCCTGCCACGCCCAACAAGCCACGGCCACAGAACCGGTAGTAAAAAAAATTGAATCCCACCACTGAGCTGGACTAATAAAATGAACTATTTTGGTTTTGCTAACAATTATGTTATTGTTAGCAAAAAATCTACTTATTTTTTTAGCTAATGATTCTATACAGGTAGTGCTATAGCCACACTTTCTGGAGGCGAATGTTACCACTGATTAATTGTTCTAACTGTCAGGAAATTTCTCCTTGTTTCTAAGTTGCTTCTCTCCTTGGTTAGTTTCCATCCATTGCTTCTTGTCCTGCCCTCAGGTGCTTTGGAGAATAGCTTGACTCCCTCTTCTTTGGGGCAGCCTCTGAGATATTGGAAGACTGCTATCATGTCACCCCTAATCCTTCTTTTCATTAGACTAGACAAACCCAATTCCTGCAACTGTCCATCGTATGTTTTAGCCTCCAGTCCCTTAATCATCTTTGTTGCTCTTCTCTGCACTCTTTCCAGAGTCTCAACATTATTTTTTTAACAGTTAGTCCTCAACTTACGACCACAATTCAGCTCAAAATTTATGTTGCTGAGAAGTTTGTAAAGTAGGTTTTGCACTATTTTACGGACTCCTCGCCACATTTGCTAAGTGAGTCCCTACAGTTCTTCACTTAGTAACACGGTTGTTAAGTGAATTTGGCTTCCCCACGCAATTTGCTCGTCAGAAGAGGAGCTCACTTGATCTCAGACCACGTCAAATGTCATAAAGGTGAGTCAGTTTCAACCATCTGAATGTAAACTCCTGTGACCGTGGGGATGCTGCGATGGTCGTAAGGGTGAAAATCGGTCAGAAGTCACGGTTTTCAGCGCCGTTGTAACTTTGAACGGTCACTAAATGAACTGTTGTAATTCGAGGGCTCTTGTGGCAACCAAAACTGGGAGCAAGATTCCAAGTGTGGTCTTACCAAGGCATTATAAAGTGGTATTAACACTTCACATAATCTTTATAATCTATTATAATAAACGAACAGACAAACAACCTGGGCTAATGGTTGCATCGGTATCTTTGTAACATATTCTCGCCCCGATTTCATGTGGAATGTGGGTAACTCTTCAAGCACATGTTTAGGTGCGACGCTCGAGCGACGTCTTTCCGAATGTCGTCTCTCACGGACCTCTCTCTCTGGTTGAACGAAAAGTAATTCCTCGGATTCCAACACAGGCTGCAAAATATAGATCTATAATCAGGGGTGGGATTCAACCGCCAGCGTTTGCAACTCACCTTCTGCTGCAACCCCTCTGTGTAAAACAGCTGATGGGCGAAGCTGCTGAACTGAAAAACCCAGAAATAAAGCACAGAAATAAAGCGGGTGAATGGGCCCAACAGCTGATCATTGGAATGAACCGGCTCGCTCACAGCTGATCTTCGGAGATACTGGTCGCCCAAACCAGGTTAAACTGGTAGAATCCCACCCATGTATATCGGTGATGGCTAATCTTTTCCACGTTGCGTGTGAAAGGTGCGTGCGTGTGCGTGGTCGCTCGTGTGCCTGCACCCATGATGCAATGCGAGCACAACTCCCCCACCCTCCTGCGCATGCTCCTGTGACCCCGAGTGTGCACCATGCGCCTCTGTGCATGTGCACATGACCCCCCCACACCGCATGCCTCTGCACTTGCACATGCAACCCTCCTGCATGCCGCATGCCTATTCGCGCAAGCACGCACATCTCCCACAGGTGCGTCTCCCCCTGCGCATGCGTGGCAGATACCCAACAATCAGCTGGCTGGTGGAGGGCACGCGCACATATGCAGTGGGGCTCTTCCTGGGGACCCCTCACATGCTGGCAGAAGTGGCTCTGCGTGCCACTTCTACCTCGCGTGCCACAGGTTCACCATCATGGCTGTATATGATATGACCCAAGTATCAGGTTTTTTTTTCACACAAACTGTTGTGCGATCAGTCTGGTTAACCTAATTAAGGGGGGAAAATGTGTTCAATTAAACACATTAAGGCAGGTACAAATTGCATTTGCACGTTCTTATGATGGTTAATATAATTAATTGTATAATTATACAGGTAGTCCTCGGGAAGTTCATTTGGTGACCGTTGGAAGTTACAACAGCACTGAACAAAAGGAACCTATGACCGTTTTTCAGTCTTGCGACCACTGCAGTGTCCCCATGGTCACATGATCAAAATTCAGATGCGTGGCAATTGATTCATACTTATGACCGTCGCTGTGTCCCAAGGTCATGGGATCCCCCTTTTGCAATGGTTTGACAAGCAAAGACAATGGGGAAGCCAGATTCACTTAACAACCATGCTGCTAACTTAACAACTGCAGTGATTCAGTTAACAACGGTGGCAAAAAGGGTCATAAAATGGGGCCACACTCACTTAACAAATGCCTTGTTTAACGACATAAATTTTGGGCTCAATTGTGGTTGTAAGTCAAGGACTACCTGTATCCTCAAAATCAGGTGAGTGCTCAGATTTAAGATTGAGATACGTAACCTGTAGCATAATAATATATAATCATTTTTACAGTAATAAATTGCTTAGGAATGGAAATTTGGGGGCTCAATTCCAGTCTGAACCTGAGGACTCCATGTATGTATGTATGTATGTATGTATGTATGTATGTATGTATGTATGTATGTTATTTTCCCGATTCCAGTTCTCTCATGTCTGTATGGAGCAAGGTGGAGAAAGAATTAGAATTGGAAAAATAATAGGTTATTTATATTAACTGAAGTAAGCAGGTTTACATGCTCCCAACACATTTTAGAAAGACCCTGTTCCAATGGCAACCATTTTCCCTGCCATATGTTTGTGGAGAATCTCCATCATCCAGGTCACTGTTGTCTCAAGGTGCCCTTTTTTTTTTCTTCAAAAGACAACTGGAGTGGGGGTTTTCTCCCCTTGAGGAAGAAGAATTTCGAAAACATTTTGCTTCTCATCCAAGAACCCTCATCAGTTATGATGCTGGGGGATGGAAGGATAGCTACTGAATGCATGTAGATGTATGGAATGGGGTGGAAGGATAGGTACTGAATGGAAGGACAGATACTCTATGGAATGGAATGGAAGGATACGTATTGACTCTATGGAATGGGATGGAAGGATAGGTACTGATTGGAAGGATATGTACTCTATGGAATGAGATGGAAGGATAGGTATTGACTCTATGGAATGGAATGGAAGGGTAGGTACTGAATGGAAGGATATGTACTCTATGGAATGAGATGGAACGATAGGTATTGACTCTATGGAATGGGATGGAAGGATAGGTACTGAATGGAAGGATATGTACTCTATGGAATGAGATGGAACGATAGGTATTGACTCTACGGAATGGGATGGAAGGATAGGTACTGATTGGAAGGATATGTACTCTATGGAATGAGATGGAAGGATAGGTATTGACTCTATGGAATGGAATGGAAGGGTAGGTACTGAATGGAAGGATATGCACTCTATGGAATGAGATGGAAGGATAGGTATTGACTCTATGGAATGGGATGGAAGGGTAGGTACTGAATGGAAGGATATGTACTCTATGGAATGAGATGGAACGATAGGTATTGACTCTACGGAATGGGATGGAAGGGTAGGTACTGACTGGAAGGATATGTACTCTATGGAATGAGATTGAACAATAGGTACTGACTCTATGGAATGGAATGGAAGGGTAGGTACTGAATGGAAGGATATGTACTCTATGGAATGAGATGGAACGATAGGTATTGACTCTACGGAATGGGATGGAAGGATAGGTACTGAATGGAAGGATATGTACTCTATGGAATGAGATGGAAGGATAGGTATTGACTCTATGGAATGGGATGGAAGGAAAAGTACTGAATGGAAGGATATGCATGAAATGGAGTAGAAGGATAGGTATTGACTCTGGAATGGGATGGAAGGATAGGTACTGAATGGAAGGATTTGTACTCTATGGAATGGGGTGGAAAGATAAGTACTCTATGGAATGAAATGGAAGGATAGATACTGACTGGAAGGATAGGTACTGACTGGAAGGATACGTACTTTATGGAATGGGGTGGAAGCATAGGTACTCTATGGAATGAAATGAGAAGATAGGTACTGACTCTATGGAATGGGATGGATGGATAGGTACTGACTTTATGGAATGGAATTGAAGGATAGTACTGACTCTATGGTGCTGGGGGATGGAAGGATAGTCAGTACCTATCCTTCTGTCCCCCAGCATCATAACTGATAAAGCTTCTTGGATGAGAAGTGAAACATTTTCTTTTTCTTTCTTAAGGAAAAAGCAACAACCCTGTCCAGCTGCCTTTCAAAGAAGAAAATAAAGCACCTTTGAGACATTCTTTGGAATCCCAAACATGCCCACAAGTAAGCCTGAAAAGTCTGCTTCATTTCACATTAGGGAAAGAGAGAAAATCCTTTCCACAGATCTGTGGGGTGAAAAAGACTTCGTAGCTTCATGCTGTAGAGAAGGGAAGGTAGGATTTTTTGCCGAAATGCTTTCAGAGATACAAAAATAAAATCCCAGAATCGCTGGGCAAAGGAATGCATTTTTTTTTTGAGGAGGAAAGTCAAGGAACACAATGTCATTGCGAAGAATAAAAGCCAAGGAAGGAGGGAGATGATTCATGAAAATGCAGCTGGTTCATAAAGAAGCTTATTATTATTATTATTATTTTGCATCGAAACCCTTGGGGAAAAACAGAAGGAAAATCAGTATAATTTACCACTACCCGAAAACATAATTAAAGGAATTAGTAGTGAATCCTGAGTTGCAGTTCATATAAGGATAACGTCTAATGCTGAGTTAAACAAAGCTATTAAACCTTGGAAGATGATCATTGGAAACCACCCCAGTTCTGAGTCTCTACTTCTTATTGCATTCTACAGGGAGTCCTCGAGTCATGGCCAGAAATGAGTCCAAAATTTCATTGGCTAAGCGGGACAGCCATTAAATGAGTTTTGCTCCATTTTATGACCTTTTATTGCCACAGTTGTTAAGTGAATCACTGAAGTTGTTAAGTGAATCGTGCAACATAAATTGTGGGTTCAATTGTGGTCATAACTCAAGGACTATCTGTACTGCAGGTAGACCTCAACTTACAACAGCTCATTTAGTGATTGCTTGAAGTTACAAGGGCGCTGAAAATAGTGGTGTATGACCATTTTTTGCACTTATGACAGTTGCAGCATTCCTGTGATGAGGTGATCAAAATTCAGGCACTTGGTGACCAACTCACATTTATGACGCTTTCAATGTTCAGGGTCATGTGACTCATTTTTGTGACCTTCTGACAAACAAAGTCAATGGGAAAACCAGATTCACTTAACAACCATATTACCAACTTCACAACTGCAGTGATTCACTTAACAACTGTGGCGAGACAGGCCGTAAAATGGAGCAAAATTCTTTTAATAAGTCGCTCAGCAATAGAAATTTTGGGCTACGTTGTAGTCGTAACTCAAGGACTATCTCTATTCCATCTAGTTAACCAATTAAACAGCTTAATCAGTAGCGGTTAACTTTAAAAATATCAAATGAAAATAGATTTAAAAATGAAAGCACAACACAAACTAAATTATTCTTACCTCAACCGATTTTTTAGGCTTTTTGCTTAGAATATTATATTTTTGCCAGGACTTAAACACCACTTTCTTCAAAGCTTTGTTGAAGATTTTTTCTATCTGTTTTGTTGCCCCTAAGGGAAAATAATTTGAGAAACACATGTGTTTTTTTTTTAAAAAAAACTGCATTACTGTTTCATATAAAGAAGACGGTGTCAGCTTTGGAAGCCATATCAGCATCAGAAGCTTCCACGCTGCCACACTCTTGAGCCTGGGAAGATGGGAGGGGGGAATTTCTTGGAGCGTATGTGGTTAGACATAATAGCATTCTTCTTCTAAGTCAGTGGTGGCTAACCTTTTTGGGCTCCTGTCCCAAAAATTATGTGGGCGCTTGCATGCGCGCGCTCGTGTGCCAGCACCCAGAAGGCAATGCACCCCCCCCACGTCCCCTATGCAAGCGCGCGCAATCCCCACCTGCCAAGCCATCCCCCCGCCGCCCCCTTACCTGCACTGTACCTCATAGCTAATTTTCAGCCAGTTTGAGGCCTTTTGCGGCCTCCCAGGGGCTTCAGGAAAGCTTCTGCAGGCCGAAAACTAGCCTTGTTTCATCACTTCTAATATTTTCGGAAAAAACAGGAAGTGACAAAACGGGGCTAGTTTTCGGCCTGCAAAGTCTGAGGAAGCCTGCAGAAGCCTTCCTCAAGCCTTGGGGAAGCAGAAAGAGGTCTCAAACCCACCAAAAATCAGCTGTGAGGCGCTCACATGTGCAGTGAGTTAAGTTTGCCTGCAGCTTGTGTGCCAGCACAAATGGCTCTGTGTGCCAACTGTGGCACATGTGCCATAGGTTCGCCATCATGGTTGTAAGTCAAGGTCATGTTATTTCTGCACCTGGTTGAGGAGACCTCTCAAGTTGGAATGGACAGTGATTGGGGCATGTGATGAAATGATGGGTACAGGATTTGTAATTTGTTACTCATTGAAGGGAAACCCAGAACTTTCAGACTCGGGATTTCCCAGATGTGCCAGTTTACTACTCTAATAAAAGGAAACTTTGAGAACATGTCTGTCTCAGAGTTATTTATATTGGAGTTGAGGTTTTCTGGAACGCTGACAGACGGTTTAATAAGTCAATGTATTGGTCTTTTAACTCCATTTCCCCATAAAGATGAATAAAAGGAAATGCTTTTCATTCTAATCTGACTTTGTTCAATCAAAAGGTAAAATTGTAGTTCACCCAAGCTTTTGTTAACTAAGGTGAGCCAAATTTTAAAGGAGTTTTACGAACATGAGAAGATATTAGATATAAAAACAGACAATAGTGATATATGTTATTTCCAGATATTCTAATATTAATTTGGCTTTTAAAAAGAGCCCCTATATCAAAATGGCGCTGATTCAATGATTCAGGCACAATATTATGGCAGTCTTTTAAACTGAAGCCTCAACAACATTGTAAACAGAATAAAATTTCAGTTGTTCCAGCGATAACCAAAGCTGAAATCCTATATACAGACCTACCTAGATACAAGATTCATTACAAGCAGTTATTGAATTAATTCATATTTGTAAAAATTTCTTCAGGTACATTCAAAATGTTCCAATTATTTAAGGAAGATGACAAAAGGTCACAACAGTTCACAAACATGAGGCACCAGGCTAGAAAATGGGAGACTGTGAGTTCCACCTTAGCTATAAAAGCCATCTGGATGAATTTGGGCCAGTCCAGGGGTGGGATTCAAATTTTTTAACAACCGGTTCTGTGGGCATGGCTAGGTGGGTGTGGCTAGATGGGTGTGACCATGTGCCTGGGTGGGCGTGGCTTTTTTCACCCCCACCCCCGTTTTTTTGCCTTTTGGGCCTCCTGGGCGAAGCAATAAGACAGCGAGGGGAATCCCGGCACAGCTGATCATAGGAATAGCTGATCGTCGGGAGGGGGGGAAAAAGAAATACCTTAAGGAGTGATTGGGTGGGGAAGAATGCAATCAGTGATGTCGCGTATGCGCGATAAGGACTGACTGGGCAAGGAGGGGCGGGCAGAGAGGGGCGGAGCCAGCCAGGGGCATGATTTGCCAGTTCTCCGAACTGTGCAGAATCATAACAACCATTTCTATAGAACCAGTTCAAACCGGTAAATCCCACCTCTGGGCCAGTCCCTCTGTCTCAGCCCAACCCACCTCACAGGGTTGTTGTTATGGGGAACACAGGAGAAGGTGTGTTGCATATGTTTGTCGACTTGAATTATAGGTAGTCCTCGACTTACGACTGCAACTGAGCCCAATACTTCTCTTGTTAAGTGAGACATTTGTTAAGTGAATTTTGCCCCATTTTACAACCTGTCTCGCCACAGTTGTTAAGTCAGTGGTTCCCAACCTTTTTTGTACCAGGGACCAGTTTCAAGCACAAACACTTTTTCAAGGACCGGGGGGGGGGGGGGGGGAATCCGAGTTTGGTGGTTTGCTTGCAGACGTTTCATTACCTGACTAGGTAACATCTGATGTTGTTACCTAGTCGGGTAATAAAACGTCTGCCAGCAAACCACCAAGTTCAGGGAGCGCCTTGGCCCTGCCTCCCTCAGCCCCATCCCTCAGGTGTCTCCCTCCCTCCCTCAGGTGTCTGCCTCGTTCCTCTCTCAGTCGCTCTCTCGCTGCTCCACCAGCCCAGGAAGAAACTGCTTCAAAGAAGCCGGGGGTGGTGGTGGCTTTTCCTGTCGCCGCAGCTCCTCCGAAGCGCCCGTTTACCCCCACCCCACCCGCCCGCGCGCGGTTCAATCCACAGTGCTCCGTTCTGCCTGCCTGCCTGCCTGCCTTCTTCATTTCGGAGCAGCTTCGGCTGATAAAAAGAGGCGAATAGTTATTATTCTCAGCCGAAGCTGCTCCGAAACGAAGAAGGCAGGCAGGCAGGCAGAATGGAGCACTGTGGATTGAACCGTGCGCGGGCGGGCGGGGTGGGGGTAAACGGGTGCTTCGGAGGAGCTGCGGCGACAGGAAAAGCCACCCCCCTCCCGGCTTCTTTGAAGCAGTTTCTTCCTGGACTGGTGGAGCAGCAAGAGAGCGACTGAGAGAGGAACGAGGCGGGAGGAAACCGAAGCCGCTGAGCCAGAGAGCAGGACAGGCTTCGGTTGCTTCCTCCCTCCCCTTCTTTCATTTGTGTCCTTGATCCCCGATCCCAGCAGGATTCACCGAAAGCGAAGAAAGCCGCCGTTTTTTTAAAAAAAAAATTCTTTGCGGCCCGGTACAGAGTGCTCCGCGGACCAGTACCGGTCCGCAGCCCGGTGGTTGAGGACCCCTGTGTTAAGTGAATCACTGTCGCTTGTTAACTCTGGATCTAAGATTGGTAATCAAAGATTGCCCCGTTCGCAATTCTTCATGACGTTGAGTGAAGGAGACTTTGAACAGAATGTCAATAAATCGGACGAAGCAGTGAAAGGGATCTTTAGATAGTAAATGTTTATCACTTCGCTCGTTTCTGCACCAGGTCTTAATGGCAGAAATTCTCAAAATGATTTGCAGATGATACAAAGCTGTGTGGTTTGGCAAACATCCTGAACAACAGCAGTGACATTCAAAACACTTTTGATAAATTAGAACAGTGGGCTAAAAATGAGAGAATAAAAAAAACATTTTGGAAAGGTTTGCAAATAAGAAAATGAAAGAAATGTCATAGCCAAAGATGGGGGAGAAACCTGGCTTCATAACAATGTGTGTGAAAAGTATCCTGAATCTGTGGTTGGACAGAAAGGCACCTGAAGCACTGTGGAGACCTAAAGCCAATTTTCATTAGGGATACTACAGAGATGCCCAACCTTGGCAACTTTAAGACCTATGGAATTCAACTCCCAGAATTCCCCAGCCTGCCTTGCTTTCTTGCAGATATTTCATTATCCAAACTAAGTAACCAGGGGTGGGATTCTACCGGTTCGGACCAGTTCTATAGAACCGGTTATTATGATTCTGTGCAGTTCAGAGAACTGGCAAATTGTGCCCCTGCCTTCCTGGACCTCAAGGGAAGCTTCCTGGGAGCAAAAACGCCCCCCCAGGAGGCTTCCCTGAGGCCCAGGAAGCCAAAAAATGGACTGGGGGGGGTGTTTGCTGCAAAAAGAAGCCATGCTCATCCAGTCACATGGCCATGCCCACCTAGCTACGCCCACAGAACCGGTTGTTAAAAAAATTGAATTCCACCCCTGTAGGTAACTTCATCAATGCCAGCATGGACTGTTGGTCCAATGTTAATCTTGGTGTTAATCTATGCTCATCTGGATGCTGATTGCTGGTAGAAAGATGTTTTGGACTTTTTGTTCCCTTTTTGGTTTGTTTATTGTCTCTTTTGCACAGTATATAGACAATGTTTGTGTCTAATATCAGACCAACAATTAAGTATGTATTACCCCAACCAAGGAACTGCCAAATAAGCTCACAGTAAAAAGCCCAAATAAAGAAACTCCAAGACCGCTCCTATCAACACATGCCACTAGAATGTCAATTAAGAGCAAACCTCACTCCTTGTAGCACTGATGGTGTTGCCTAGTTTGGTTAATGAAACGTCTGCAAGGAGAAAGCCAAGCACCAAGGGCCCTTCATTTCAACCCTGAGATACAAATCCAACTCAAACTCAAGCTTTAGGCTTCCACAAAACACGATTCTGTTCTTGAATTCATAAACAAATTTCATTGTTTAAATATTTATAAAGAGGAGTTATGAAACAACATCAATAACAACCATATTTGGTTAAGTAGTATATTATGAATCCAGTCCTCCAATAGAATTGTGTATTTTTAAATTTAAGACAAATCTAGCAAGCAACACAGAGCATATACAAATGCATTTTTCACTTGCTAAAAGAGACTCCTTTTTTAAACTAGTGTTTATTTTCCTGCTATTAAGATGAAAAAATCGTGTTTTTATTTTGACAGTAAATACAATCATGCATTATCCATATGCATATAATTGCAAGCCATACATTATGTTTACAGGTAATCCTCAACCTACATCAGTTCATTTAGTGACCCTTCAAAGTTACAACAGCCCCCTAAAAAAGTGACTTATGGCCGTTTTTCACACTTACAACCATTATAACCTCCTCATGGTCATGTGATCAAAATTCAGGTGCTTGGCCACTGACTCATATTTATGACGGACAATTTGCAATGCCCCACAGTCATGTGATCTGGCAAGCCAAGTCAATGGGAAAACCAGATTCACTTGGTTAAGTGAAATAGTTATGTTATAAATTCAACAACTGGCAGTGTTTCACTTAACAGGCATGGCAAGAAAGGCCATAAAATGGGGCAAAACTCAATAAATATCTCATTTAGCAACAGAAGTTTTGGGCTCAGTTGTGGTCGTATGTCAAGGATTTCCTTGTCCTCCCAATTGGCAGAAAGACTAAATTAGATTTAATTTCATTGGAATGCATCCAGTTTTGGTCCCTACACTATAAAAAAAGATGTTGAGACTCTAGAAAGAATGCAGAGAAGGGCAACCAGGATGGTTAGGGGACTGGAGGCTAAAACATACGATGAATAGTTGTGGGAACTGGGCATGGCTAGTCTAGTGAAGAGAAGGACCAGGAAAGACAAGATAGCAGTGTTCCCAATATTTGAGGGGCTGCCACAGAGAGGAGGAGGAGGTCAAGCTATTTTCTAAAGCAGTGGCCCCCAACCTTTTTTGTGCCACGGCCCGGTACCGGCATCACAAAATGATCCGCGGCCCGGTACCGGCATCAGCACACATGACAAGGCAAGGCGAGCCGAGCGACCGGCCAGCCAGCAGTCCCCCGCTTCTCCCCGCCACCTTCAACTCCTCCTTTGTACCTTTGTCAATGGGCTTCGCTTCGGGATGGCTTCGGGACGGTCGCTCGGCTCGCCTTGCCTTGAGTGCTGAAAGAATCCTCGCGCCTTAGTTTCGTTCTAAGCCCCCCCCTCGATGAAACTAAGGCGCGAGGATTCCTTCAGGACCCAAACGCCGCTTTCCAACCGGAAAAGCTCACCCGGAAGCACTTTCTCGTCAAACAAGATGGCGGCACCCAGCAACCCGGCGGCCCGGTAGGAAATATTCCACGGACCGGTACCGGTCCACGGCCCGGTGGTTGGGGACCCCTGTTCTAAAGCACGCGTAAGCCAGACAAGGAATAATGGAAGAAGAGATTTAACCTGGAAATAAGGGGAAACTTTCTGACAGTGAGAACAATCAACCAATGGAACAGCTTGCCCTCGGAAGTTGTAGGAGCGCCATCACTTGAGATTTTCAAGAAGAGATTGGACTCCCATTGTCAGAAATGGTGTAGGGTCTCCTGCTTGGGCAAGGGGTTGGACTAGATGACCTACAAGGTCCCTTCCAACTCTGATTATCTGTTTATCTGTTATCTGGAATGAAATTCTTGCTTCACCTGTACAGGTGAAACAAACATTCTAATTTCAATATATTTGAATCTGCTGAAGCACTCAACAGTCTAGGAATTGAAACTTCACACAATGCAACTGACCTCTATGGGACTCCCATAGAATTGAAATTCTGTAAAACGTTTTTTGATATAGTACAAAATTTCATGAAATATTTCCTTTGGCCAGCTCCTGATATGTTTGACTGTGCTATAGCTTGGACTACATTTAAGCAGATACATCTCTGTACGGACCCCTGAATTTTCAACAACTTTCCCAGAATATTAGAAGCTCAACATTGTTGAAGGCATTGAGGAATCTAATAGACGTAGTCCTCGACTTACTGTCAACCCTGAAGCTGACCTGACAGAGGCCATTTTGAGGCTTCAGGGCTGCCACCACTGGAGCTAAGGGGTAGGGAGGGGAGAGTAGAGATAGTTGGGGTTTGTAGCCAAAACAAAATACTTTCTCTTGAGAACCAAGGACATTTCAGCAGGTGTTTGGAAGGAGGGAACTGAAGTCACCTAGCAATTGGACTGTATCCTGATTGGACCATGTGACTGATTGTTTTGAGAAAGTGAAAAACTTCTACTTTTAATTACCTTTTTTTTTTTTTTTGCACTATAAGACTCTCCAGACAATAAGACACACCTAGCTTTTGGGGAGCAAAATAGGAAAAAAAAAATCTGCCTCTGCCTCGCAGCAATTTGCCTCCTTGCAGCAAACAGCAAACAGCCTGGTCAGCTTCAGCACAATCTGATTTAGCATGAGCAGCTGATTGGCGGTTGGATCGGCCTCCCGGAATACTGCCGATCAGCTGTTCCAGGCTGCGGGGATCGCCACCACCCATCGCCGCCACCTATAGCTGCCTCTGCATGCCCCATTTTTGGCCTCTGCGCACCCCATTTTCGACCTCCGTGTGTCCCATTTTTGGCCAGTTCCAGGTGGCGGGGATTGCCACCGCTGATGCCATCTATAGGCAGTGATGGCAATCCCTGCCACTTGGAATGGGCTGAAAATAGGATGTGCAGAGGCTTAAAATGGGGCGCACTGAGGCAGAAAATGGGACATGCAGAGGCGGCGATAGGCGGTAGCAATGGGCGGCGACAGCAACGGCAATCCCCGCAGCCTGGAACAGCTGATCGACAGTATTCCGGGAGGCCGATCCAACCGCCAATCAACTGCTCGTGCTAAATCAGGCTGTGCTGAAGCTGACCAGGCTGTTTGCTGCAAGGAGGCAAATTGCTGGGAGGCGGAGGCTGAAGGGTGGGGTCCCGCAGGTGGGTGGCGCTTCGCCAACATTCACTCTATAGAATGCACAGACATTTCCACTCACTTTTGGAGGTGGGGGGGAAATTGCATCATAGTGCAAAGAATACGATAGGTGAAAACCGCAGGAACGTTTAGGGTCAGTTTTCACCAGCCCGTGCCAATATGGCATATCCAACAAAGCTAATCTTTGAGGAATCTACCTGCCTCAGAGGTTTTTTTTGCTGTGAGTATGTTCCTTGGAACCCTGACACTTACAACAGTTTGTTCAGTGACCGTTCAAAGTTATAACGTGACTGAACGAAGTAATTTATGACATTTTTTTCCACATTTCTAAAGCAGAATCCCCATGGTCACGTGATCCAAATTCGGACACTTGGCAACTGGTTCCTATTTAGAATGGCTGCAGTGTCCCAGGGTCATGTGATCCCCTTTTGTGACCTCCTGACAAGCAAAAGCAATGGGGAAGCCAGGTTCACTTAACAACCGAGTTGCTAACTTAACAGCTGTGGTGATTCACTTAATAACTGTGGCAAGAAAAGTTGTAACATACAGCAAAATTCCCTTAGCACCTGTCCAGTTTAGCAACAGGAATTTTGGGCTCAGTAGTGGTCGTAAGTCCAGAAGTTCCTGTTCTGACCAAGGCTTCCGAGACTGTAATTACACACACGCTTATTTTAAAAAGAAGTCTTGCAATGCTAGGAATTATTTTCATTCCCAGCCGGTAATGAATCTCAAACAGTCCCTCGAGAGAAGCACCCACCTTTCTTTCCTGTGAAGTGCTGCCAATAACAGAAGTGTCAAATAAACTAGAACAAAAACCAACCAAAGTACAAAGAGCTTCAAGGATGACTTGGAAACGATTGAACTACTTTGCTTCCTGCAAAGTTTCATCATTGAGGTCTGACTTTTATCCCTTATAGGAGGGGCAATCACCTCCCAGCCTTACTCCCAAGTCACCCGCTCTGTCTCAGCTGCTCTCTCCTTCTAGCAGCTCTGTGCACACACACACACTGGGAACAGACTCCCCTTGTTCCTCTGCCTTGCTGCTGCCAGACTCTGAAGGCTCCAAAGGCAGCACCCCACTCCCAGATGGTCCTGTCCCCATCTCTGCATCGGATGCAGGACCCTCATCCGAATCCTCTCCAGACTCCCTGATGGTCCCCGTTCTTCCCCACTGTCCGATTTGCACCAGCTGCCCGGAACCACAACAGTTCCTGCACCGGAAACCAGTCATCTACTTAATTATTATCGGTGTAACATTCTTACGTTTGTGCACTTCTTTCTGGGTGTTCACCCACTCATACCATGTCCTCATTGCTAATTTTAGGAGTCTGCAGTCATAGTAGTGCCTTGCAGCTGCCAATTTTTTCTGTAGTTGTTCTTCAGCTGTTTTCTTGTCTTCACAATATTGGATCCATGTGCTGCAATAGTTAAGCAATGATAAATCATGCAGTAAAATTTGTTCATCTATGTTTTCTTTGAAACATAAAGTTGCAATCAAAAAAGCATTTCGCTGAACTGCATTAAAATATTTTACACTATTATTATTGTTATTTGGGGGGGGGGGAGCCAAATCCAGGCTGTCCTCGAAGCTGCAAAGGTTATAAGTAGGAAATGGTCATCGGTCACTTGTTTTTCAGTGCCATTGTAACTTCAAACAGTCACTAAATGAATGATTGTAAGTCATTTGGCCATACAAGCTATAGTATAGAGATACACATAACAGTTAATTTTCTTTTTCCCTTATGTTATTAGTATTGTGCTAGCTACATGTTATTTCTATTTACATTTATATACAATTATATACATATTTACAACCGTCTTTTATACTCAAGCATTCGTATCATCTCGTATTTGTCCATTATATTCCATTCTCTTTGGTTTAAAAACTTTTAACTTTCATTCCTATAAAGCGTCAACCCTTTTTTTCTTTTTACTTGACTCCATTGATACGTTTTACTCCAGACTTCATAATACTTTGTCTCACCCTTATCTTTGATTTCTAAAGTTAGTCTATCCATCTCTGCACAGACTAATATTTTCCTTATTATTTCACTTTCTGTAGGGGTATCTTCATTCTTCCAGTTTTGGGCATATACCAATCTTGCAGCTGTTATTATATGTATCATTAACTATATTGCTCCTTTACTGTATTTCTCATTAATAATTCCCAGTAAGAACGTTTCTGGTCTGAACTCTGAAAGTAGAAATATTATTAAGAAATAATAAAGGAAATTATATACATATATTATATACATATATACGTACTCAAAGCACTTTCTCTTAAGATTAGTGCTATAGAAGTCCCATGCTCTATCACATAACTCTGTCGTCATCTGAAAAGTAAATACAAAAATAAAGTTACATTAAAATAGGAAAGAAAGAAATAGGAAAGAAAATGGATAGTCAGGTGCACATGAAGAAAATAGGACAATATTCTTCATGTCATTTATTGAAAAAACTCTGATGTACACTTTTAAAATGAATCCTAAAGAACCATCAGGGTCAACAATTCTATAATTCTAGATGCCACAAAATTAAATGATTTCTGTTTCCCCATTTTACTTATTTTTCTACCTCGTATTTCCCTAGAGTGGAATTTTATTCATTTATTTAAGCGTACATATACATACATAATGCACAGCGCCAAGTAAGCCAGCCTGAGGCAGTTAAAAAATTTTTACATCTGAGTTTGATGCAATTTTACTTAAGTGTATTTAAGTTATAAAGTCTTCAGGAATAAGGATTAAGGAATGTAGTCTTTCCCACGACTCTCGGTTAAAAAGGGATTATGAATAAACGTTAAACAAAATTCTTCCCAGACTATCTTTGGAGAAAGCTATTATTCTAAACGTTTTTACAGAGATTTATGAATAATTACCAGCTGGTCGTCATCAAGGCCTAAAAGTGTGTGTAAATATGTGTCAGAAAGGACTCTCAACTTCAGACTTAACTCTGGATCGATACACATGTTCCTAGAAGCAAATATATATATATAAATGATAGTTTTTTTAAACCAGATTATTACACTACAGCTTGAGCTAGTTTTTAAAACTATTGTTATTTCTTGTTTTTGTAATCAGATAAATAATCCTGGCTCAAAGCAAAGAATGTAAATGATATTATGCTGTGATTTTTTTAATTACAAATCATATTTTCCATTTTTTAATGTTCTTTATCTTTCAAGTGTCTATTTTCCCACAAGTCTGTGGAAATTCTTGCTTTTCAAGAAACACGCAGCGTAATGGAAAATATTTTCCATTGCCTTTTAGGTTATAATAAACTTCAATTAAAAATATTAAAAAGAGAGAGAAACACCGAGCGTGAGCAGCTTGAACAAAGTAAATTTCAGAGTGTCAGTGTAGAAATCCAGCATATGGGTAGTCCTCGCTGAATGACCAGTTAAATGTTACAATGGCCCTGAATGTTCCTTGTAACTGTGGCCACAATAGCATGCACAATTTTTGTCCGATTGCCATTTGCAACTTTCACTGCTGACTTCTGGCAAGTAAAGTCAGTGTAGAAGCTGGCAGGAGTTTCACAAATTATGTGACCATGGAATGCTGTGACCACATGGGGTTCGTTTAACGACCGCCTGCTGGCCCTGCCATCTTAAATCGGGGCGGTCACGCGACCTCATGTTTTACGACTGTGTCACCTAGCAACGGAATGGCCAGTCTCAATTACCACTGTTAAACAAGGCCTACATTAAAAATATTAGAAAATGAACCTCAGGTGGATTGTAATGAACCGCTTTAAATTGGAATTATCATTTGATACACTCATTATGGCCTGAGGCCATGGAAAAGAATAGACAGTAATACTCAACATCAAAAAAGTATGAAATTTACAGAATAATAGAGTTGGAAGGGACCTTGGAGGTCTTCTAGTCCAACCCCTGCTCAAGCAGGTGAACCTATACCATTCCAGACAAGTGGCTGTCCCATCTTTTCTTGAAAACTTCCAGTGACAGAGCTCCCATAACTTCTGAAGGCAAGCCGTTCCACTGGTTGAGTGTTCTCAGTGTCAAGAAATTTCTAATTTCTGGATTGATTTTCTTCTTCATAAGCTTCCATCCATTGCTTTTTGCCTTCAGTTTCTTTGGACAATTGGTAGGCCACTTCTTTTCTAGACAGCCCCTCAAATATTGCAAGATACACTGACCACAATTCAATAAGCAACAGGTTTTTATTCGTATTAGTGTATGTCCAATGAAGGCTAATATTATAAAAATGTATGTCATTGCATGCTAAAGTTTAATACACCATCCCATAAAGCATTTACATGTTTCAATTAACTCCTGAACCAGCTATTGTGACCTGTTGCACTGTATAAAGTTGACAACTTTTTTTCTGCAAATATGAATGCTTACTAGATTCAGAATAAGAAAACAGTAAATATTACAGGTGCAGTATGAAAATTTGAAAATCCTTGTATCAGTTTTTGATACCACTGATTTTAGTTTCCGCATTTAGCAATTCACATTCAACTCTGGCTACCAAGAATTGAAGACCAATGACTAACACAAAATAATATTAATATCGCTATGGATGTTTTCTATTCTATTATTGAACGAAAAGCTCAATTATTAGGAATTTACATGGTTCAAGTCAAACTGATTTATAAAAAAATAAGATTTCCCCACATTGATTTCACATTTGTTATCGATCTTTTTAGACCACAGAAACCTCTTATACATACCATATAATACCATATAAGCCTTTTTCCATCATTTCTTTGATCTTTTCTTCTAAAAATCTGAGTGGATCTTCTGGACACATAATTAATAAACCACCTAACAAGGCCTGCAAATAAAATCAAGATATAGAGTATTGATTAATAAAATATATATTTCATAAGAGAGTAAAATTGTTTTTAGATTCTCGTCCTTTTTTATTAGAATATTTTACATTTTTATTAAAACAATTCAACATTTTATTTTTATTTTACCTCAGGATTTATTCCTGTTCATTGCTGAGTTTATATAACATTTTAGTTCATGAAATTTTAAGCCATCATAAATTTGTAAACATGTTAGATGCTACAAATTGATTGCTACAGTATTACTAAAAGTATAAGAATCATGAAATTATCCTTATCTTAAGCGTATTAACCAAGATTATAAAGGCTAGGAAACTGAAGTATTATCCAATCATACTAGTGCCAAAATATTTTTTGAGAATATTTTTATTTTATTCCTTAATGATTGCTTTTAATTGGTTTATTATAAGTAAACAGTATGGCTTGATTCCTACTTTTATTTGCCTGATGAACTAAAATCAAGACAATCATTTTTTTTTCTTTTTGCTTGTACATTTTCTAAAAAAGGAGAAACTTTTACCTTATTTCTTAAAGATATTACAACACCTTAAAAGGCACTGCTATTTAAACAAAAACCGTCAATTTAATTATATATCATGACAGGCAAAATAACATATTGTTCCAATGTCAATTTCACTTATTATAGACTCAAAAAACCAATAACCCTAATTAAAATAGAACAGTAAAAACACTACTCAAGAAATAATAATTTTAAGTTCCCATTGATTTCAATAGGAATGAAGTGCTCTGAGAAATGAGGAATTCAAAGACAATCTTTCAAGTACACATACTTCTTAAATATTAATTTACACATAAGATGCTTTAAGATTGTCAACTGTGCCCTCTACTGGACTGGATCATAAATTTTGGTTTTTGTAACTGAAACGCAATTTCTCCAAATAATCTACAACGATATTTGAATATGTCCAAAAACTAATCTGTGTGAATAGAACGTGGCACTGCAAATAAAATGGAAGCAACATAACACAGGGCGATGCGAGTCAGTTGTGGAGTTTTGCAGACGAGCAACACTAAACTTAATCCAATTCTGGCAAATCAAATTGCCTATTTTGGAAAAGACAGTCCATAGAATTGCGGTTAAATGTTCAGATAAATATGTATAGACATCGGCTAGTCAAAACTGTAAATTCTATACAGGTCATCCTTGACTTACGACCACAATTGAGCCCAAAATTTTTGAGACAATATTTCAGTGAGTTTTAAGCGATTTTATGACCCAGTTTCCTTGACATAGTTAAGTGAATCCCTGCAATTGTTGAGTTAGTAACAAGATTGTGAAGTGAGTTTCATTTCTTCATTGATTTTGCTTGTCAGAAAGTCGCAAAAGGGGATCACATGACCCGAGGATACTGCAATCATCACAAGCATGAATCACTTGCCATGGATCTGAATTTTGATCATGTGACCATGGGGATGTTGCGATGGTTGTGTAAAAACCTAAGTCACTTTTTTCAGTCCCGTTGTGACTTTGAATGGTCACTAAACGAACTGTTGTAAGTAAAGGACTACCTACAGATCTTCTCGCATGTCCATTGTACGAATGTGTGCAGGTCTACCTAAATAAAATCTATACAATCTGCTGGGGGGTTGCAGGGGTTCGGGAGAGCCCCTAAGATTCTGTGCAGTTCAGAGAACCCCCAAATCCCACTCCTGGCCCTGCCCACCCCTCCCCTCCCCTCCCAGGAGTCCCCACGTGGCCTGTTTTGGATGCAGGTAAGTGCAGGACACACACAGAGGCTCTGGGAGAGTGAAAAATGGGCCTCTTGGAAGTTCAGGAAGGCCGGAAATGGGCCCATTTCCAGCTTCCGGAGAGCCTCCGGAGGCCCTTTTTGCCCTCCCGGAGGCTCAAGGAAAGCCTCCAGAGCCCAGGGAGGGCAAAAATGCCCCCCTGCCATGGTGCAGGAGGCTGACTAGGCCACGCCTACCATGTCCACTCCCACTGAGCAACCAGGCAGAGAACCCGTTGCTAAAATTTTTGAAGCCCTCCCCTGAATCTACCCCATTCACATTTAGTAGGTAGAGAGGTTTTCCCACTGCAACATTAAATTGCTACCAACCCATCCTTAAACCGGCAAAACCAACACAGGTAGTCCTTGATTTAACAGTCGTTCATTTAGTGACCGTTTAAAGTTACAACGGCACCGAAAAAAAGTGACTTGTGACCATTTTTCCATTGCAGCTGCCTTGTAATTTATGATGGTTGCACTCTGTTCAGGAAACTGTCTCATAGATCTGCAATTTATGCCCAAATTTCCCACTACATTCATCACTCCTAATCAAAATTGTGGGCCAGCTAGCAAATTAATAACACCAGGGCGTGTTCTGTATTGTCTTCATTCCTCCCTTCAACATTACATTGCCGTACATTTTTCATTCCTTCCTATAAAGGCCGCAGGACAAAAAATTTTCAGATTATTTTTTTGAATGTTTTTCCAGGTACTTTAGTCCAAAATACAGGTCAGTCCTCAGATCAAGGCCACAATTGAACCCAACACTTCTGTGGCTAAGCGAGACATTTCTTAAGTGAGTTTTGCCCTATTTTACGACCTTTCTTTGCCACCATTGTTAAGTGGATCACAGCAGTCATTCAGTAAGTAACCCAGTTGTTAAGTGAATCTGGCTTCCCCGTTGACTTTGCTGGTCCAAAGGTCTCAAAAGTGGATTGCGTGATCCTGGGACACGGAAACCGTCATAAGTATAAACCAGTTGCCAATCGTCAGGATTTTGATTTGAGATATTTTTCATCTAAGTTCTGCTGTTTATTTTTTTGATTTTGGAAAAGACAAATAGGAAAGACAAGGCTCTTCTTTTGACAATGATAAATATTGTTGGGTGTTGTTATTTTAGCACTGAATATTTTTTTTAAAAAATTTATGGTAGAGATTACTCTTCTGATTTATACATATTGGCATGTCTAAGGTTGGTTTAGATCCAAACAAGATGAGTTAGTGATTTCATGAATGACGTTCAGGTTTATAAAGTAAAGTTCATTTCAAAGCCACCATGATCCAAATCCTGAGGAACACAGCGTACTATCGTTTTCTTGCCTGCTATTTTTCTACATGCCATCAGTTAGCCCAGAAGTAAAATTAGGCACTTGTGATGTAAACAAAGCTTCTTCTTCATCATCGTCATCGAATTTGAAGAGACCTTGGAGGTCTTCCAGTCCAGCCCCTGCTCGTAGGAAACCATATGCCATCTTAGACAAGTGGCTGTCCAGTCTCTTCTTAAAAACCTCCAGTGATGAAGCACCCACAACTTCTGAAGTTCCACTGGTTAATTATTTGTACCATTAGGATGTTTCTCCTTAGTTCTAGGTTGGTTCTCTCCTTGATTTGTTTCGAGCCATTGTTTCTTGTTTTGCTGAGAGAGAGAGAGAGAGAGAGAGAGAGAGACAGAGACAGAGAGAGAGAGAGAGAGAGAGAGAGACAGAGACAGAGACAGAGACAGACAGACAATGAGAATAGATAATGATGGATGGAAATGGATGGATGGATGGATATAGATGGAGAGATAGAGACAGGATAGATGAGAATAGATAAATGATGGATGGATGAGAGAATAGATGGATAATGATGGATGGATGGATGGAGATAGATGGAGAGAGAGTACAGATAATGATGGATGGATGGATATAGATGGAGAGAGAGGATAGGATAGATGGAGAGAGAAAATGGATAATGATGGATGGATGGATAGATGGAGAGAGAATAGATAGATAGATAGATAGATAGATAGATAGATAGATCCCTCTGAGTGTATCACGAATTTTAAGAGAAACATTTGCCCCATTTTATGACTTTTCCTACCACCATTGTTCAGTGAATCATTGCACTTGTTCAGCTGGTAACCCAGTCATTAAGTGAAACTGGCTTCCCCATTGACTGCTTGTCAGAAGGTCACAAAAGCGAATCACAGGACTTCAGAACACTGTGATCATCATAAATATGAGTCAGTTGCCAGGCATCCAAATTTTGATCACGTGACCACGGGAGGCTGCAAAGATCGTAAGTTTGAAAAAACAATCCCTACTTTTTTCAGTGCTGTTGTAACTTTGATGAACTGTTGTAAGGCGAGGACTCCCGATAGCTGTAGTGCAGGGTTGAAATGAGGGATTCTCGGCGCTCTCTGAGCTTGGTGGTTTCCTGGCAGAGGTTTCCTTATCCAAACTAGGTAACATTCAGTAAACAGAGAGAAAAATCCCATTTCTTTCTAACACTGATGATGTTACCTAGCTGGGTTATGAAACGTCTGCAAGGAAACAACCCAGTTCAGAGACCACCAAGGACCCCACATTCTCCTTCTCCTCTTCCTCTCTTTTCACAAACCCCACTACCTTGTGGCACTGATGGTGTTACCTAGTTTGGTAACGCAATGTCTGCAAGGAAACAAGCCAGCTCAGAAAGCACCAAGCACACCACAGTAGTCTTCATCTTTTTCCTCTTCTTCTTCTTCTTCTTCCTCCTCCTCCTCCTCCCAAACAAACCCCACTACCTTTGTAGCACCGATGGTGTTACCTAGTTGGGGAATGCAACTTCTGCAAGGAAACAAGCCACTTCAGAGAGCACCAAGGACCCTCTCTCAAAATTCATGGTTCAAGGTCTTATCAGTTCAAGGTCAAAGTGGGGGTGCCTGAGACTGCCTTGAATCCCACCCCCACGCCCCCATCCCCAGAGGATACGGTGCCTTCTTTACCTCATAGATATCCGGGATGGCATACTTCTGGAAGTAGGCCCTCAAAGCGGGGTCCCCATTCCGAAGGACGGGCATGGCCAGTCACAAGGGGATCCGTGTAAGGCTGCCCACCTACCCACCCACCGGCTGGAACAGCTGGGAAGGCGGGCGACCACCGCCCCCGCTCCCAACGGCCGCTCCAGCTCTCCGCTGTCGGTTCCCCCCTCCTCCTCCCACACAGATGCGGGAGACACGCGCCTCTCTCCGGCGCACGTGTGAACGGGTGCAAACTATTCCAAGACATCCGGATCGGAACCGGAGAGGTTCTTTTAGGGAAGCAGGCAAGAGCCTTAGATCCCCTTCCTCCGCGATTGCCAAAAACTCGTCCAGTCCCAGCGCCGACCGTCTCTCGGATCCACCCAGAGGTAGATTCCCCGGGATCCACCCCCCTGGAGGTGGAGCCCGGCTGACCCGCGTGCAACGGAAGAAGACGCTTTCCCACGTGCTCCAAAAGTCTTCCCATCCCCCCCTTTTTTTCCCCAGCCCGGGAGAAACGCGTGTCTTGTTTGCCATGAAGGAATCGGGCGGTTGGTCGTTGCGGGTCGGCTTGGTGGGCCTGGCAGCGGCGGCGGCAGCGGCGGCGGGAGTCGCCTATGGCCTTTACCGGGTGACTTACAGGCGGAGCGGGGGAGCCGCCCCACGGTCGAGGGGCTTGGAAAGAGAGCCGGGCAGCCTCGGTGGGGGAGAAGCCTCGGGGTCTCCCGGGTTATCCAGCCTCCACCGGGCACCTTTGGGGGGCGTCCCGCAAGGTCAGATTTTCCCCTTCCTTATTTTGTTCCGTTTTGATCCACGGGAATAGAAGAGAAAATATAGAATAGGAAATAGGAAATAGAATAAGAATAGAGTATAATAGAAAATAGAAATAGAATAGGAAATAGAATAAGAATAGAATAGAAAATAGCAATAGGAATAGAATAGAAAATAAGAAATAGAATAAGAATAGAATAGAATAGAAAATAGAAATAGAATAGAATAGGAAATAGAATAAGAATAAGAATAGAATAAAAAATAGGAATAGAATAGGAAATAGAATAAGAATAGAATAGAAAATAGGCATAGAATAGGAAATAGGAAATAGAATAAGAATAGATTATAATAGAAAATAGAAATAGAATAGAATAGAAAATAGAATAAGAATAGAATAGAAAATAGGAATAGGAATAGAATAGGAAATCGAAGAAGAATAGAATAGAAAATAGAAATAGGAATAGAATAGGAAATAGAATAGAATAAAATAGAATTCTTTATTGGCCAAGTGTGATTAGACACACAAGGAATTTGTCTTTAGTGCAAAAGCTCTTAGTGTACATAAAGAAAAAAATAAAACTCATCAAAAATCATAAGATACAGCGCTTAGTGATAATCGTAGGTTACTAATAAGTAATGATTTTTTTCCCATTAGGTGTAATATTTATTTTCTAACATTAGGGGGCAGTGATGATTCAAATTCTCATGGCGGTCTTGAGGCCCGTCACATTAAGAGTCTTCTTCATCTGCTGGAGTCTACAGAGGACTCTTTGGTTCATGAACAGATCTTGGTTACCCTGGGCAACAGCGCGGCTTTCTCTGTAAATCAAGTAAGGGCTTTTCTTTGTTTCCATTCCATCATAGAAAAAAGCCAGTGTTGTGATACAGGGATCTCCAAACAGGGCCACTTTAAGACTTTGTGGACTTCAACTCCCAGAATTCCTCAGCTAACCTGACTTTGTAAAAAATAAAAAAAGGACAAGCAATACAATCTTAAGGGTAGACTGAGAATATTCAGTTAAAAAATGGAGTTGCGGTTCTCTGCCTCCTGCACCATGGCGGGAAGCCCGTTTTTTCCCCTCCCCAGGCTCTGGAGGCTTTCCTCGAGCATCCAGGAGAGCGAAAATGGCTCAGAGGGCCTCTGGAAATGGGCCCGTTTCCAGACTTCCAGAGCCTGTGATGACCCAGGGTGGGATACAAAATAAACAGTCACAAAAAACAGGTGAAGCCTCTTGTATTCCTTTACTTTGCTTCCAAGCTCCAAATATCCTTGACTGGAGACAAAAAACTCCCACACAAACAGTTACAGGAAGGAGGAAATGCCATTTAAATTATAAAGAGTAAAAAAACCACACAAACCAGGCAAGATAAGGGCTTGAAGACGTCCACAGATATCAGAACACACACTGGGAAGGACGCCAAACTCAGAGAGGAACAATAAACTAGAGATATTTCCACACTTTGTTTCCAGCACTCGCCCGTATGCATGTCTGTCCTCTTGTCCAGTTGTCACATCTGCAGCCCATGAAGAGGATCAAGGCCCTCTCCTCCTAAGTAGACCATGTCCCTCCCTTATCCTCTTCTCCCTGTGTGCCCTAGGATGGAGAGGCGATGGGCCTGGGTCCTCCTCTGACTGCCCAGCCGGCCTCTGCCCTTCCCCAGCCTCCTCCACCACCTCTGAAGCCACACTTCCACTCCCTGTGGGCTGTTCCTCCCCTCCCTCAGAGTCAGTCTCCATGGACCAGGGACATGACAGAGCCTCTGGGAGGCCTGTTTTTCATCCTTCCCGAGCCTGACCCTGCACTTACCTGGGATCCAAAACAGGGCACAGGAGGGGCTAGGCGGGGCCAGCCAGGGGTGGGATTTGCCAGTTTGCCAAACCGGCAATTAAAAATGATAAAATTAGCTACCGGTTTGCCCGAACTGGGGTGAACCAGTAGCAGCCACTCCCTGGACTATATAGCCTTGTATAGTGACATATAGCAAGATGTTTATGCACAAAATTTATTCTGTTTCAGCTAGTAGCCTGCTAGGGAGATACTAACAACATGTTACCCCATAGTGCTGTGTAGAAATGGGCTAATTATCCTGATTCTTTTTCATTTTGACTCTCAAGCGCTTGTTGGTGTTTAAAGGGGGAAAGGATGCTATTGGCTTAAGGTTCTTTTCGTTCTTTAAGCCTTCTCCGACTTGCAAAAGGTGCCAAAACAATTTATTTCTTGTCTCTCTTGTCTCTCACCTACTATCAGCAACCATGGCTCTTCAGTCCCAAAATCAAAACATACTAACCTATCTGTTTAGAAGAAATGAATTTATATGTGAAAGAAATGGTGACAGCATTACTAGGAATCAAGAAATATGAGCCTATCACAGCAGTGGAAAAAACCCCCACTGTTAATAATCTTCAGCTTTAACAGAAAGGAACAGAAAGCAATTTCACAATTATAGATATTAAATGCTTGTGGACATCTTTTTCAAAGTGACCATATGATTGTGACTTTGTGCTATGACCTCCTTTGCATTATTAATCTTTAAACTTTATTTTCCAGTAATCCAACTATTAAGAACAGTTATTTTTTATATACAGAGAAGTGTTGTTCGTTTTGGTCAAATTCCCCTCCATTAAATGAGGTTTTTTGGACTTTAGGGATTAAGATGATTATATATGATATTTTCCTATTTGTTTAATTTGTAGGATATCATTCGAAATTTAGGTGGCCTCTCTCTGATTGGAAAAATGCTTTCAGTTCCCGTCACCGATGTTAAACAGAAAGCACTCAATGCATTCAATAACTTGAGTATGAATACCAAAAACCAAGAGGAACTAAAGGTGAGTTTAAAATAACACTGTATAATAAAAATGCATACAAATAGGGTTTCTAAAAAATTTAATGCAGCAGGAATACTGGTTTTATTGTTACATGTGATATTGATCAGTTGGATGTTATTAGCATAGTAACTTTTTAAAGATAATTTATAAACTGTCTTTTCACAACACTCAGGAGACTTATAGGGATTAGAAGAGTTTGCCACAGGGCACAGTGACCTCAAAATAATGTGTATGAAGGCAAAACAGGAAACAACAGATGGAAATTAATCTAGGAGAGAAGCAACTAAGAACTAAGAAAAAATTTCCTGACAGAACAATTAATCAGTGGAACAACTTGCTTCCAGAAGTTGTGAATGCTCGAACACTGGAAGTTTTTAAGAAGAGATTGGAAAAACCATTTATCTAAAATGGTGTATGGTTTCTTGCCTAAATAGTGGGTTGTACTAGAAGACCTCCAAGGTCCCTTCCAGCTCTGGTATTTCTGTATAAGGTTCTCATCTTTCACTTTATCCAAAAGTTTCCGATAAATTTTATCTGCCTTTTAGTTTACTGAAATACTTATTAGGTTTTATGGATGGCAACTAACTGTGTCATATTTCTTTAACTTTGTGAAATATAGGGGTGATTAAAGTGAAACCCCAGTCATTAGGTATGCAAGTTGATGGTTACTAATATAATAAATGTAACAATTTTTTTTAAAAAATACAAAAGCAATTTAAAACCATCAGTAATAGGAAGTTAATACCAGGCATTTGACCTGATATGTTTTAACCAGAAAGCTGTGTGATATGGAACAGGTGGTCTGATTTTGAGAATGGATGGAAAGTTTTCTCCAATAGGTGCTTTTTTAAGAGGCAACTGGACTTCCTTGGTTTTTCCTTGAAGACGTTTTGCTTCTCATCCAAAAAGCTTCTTCAGTTCTGAAGAACCCAGAAGCAAGAACTGAAGAAGCTTCTTGGATGAGAAGCGAAACGTCTTAAAGGAAAAAAACCCAAGAAAGTCCAGTTGCCTCCTTGAAAAAGCAACTTTGGGACAACTATGACCTGGATGTCTGAGAATCTCCATTGTCATGCCCCTGTTAAAATCTGACTCAGAGGGAGAGGAGGAACAGTGGACAGGGAGTGGAAGTGTGGCTCCGGAGGTTGTGGAGGAAACGGGAAGGGCACAGGCCAGCTGGGCATTCAGAGGAAGACCCAGGCCCATCCCCTCTCCATCCTAGGGCACGCAGGGAGGAGCGGATAAGGGAGAAACGTGAATGGCCTGGTCTACAGGGGAGGAAAGGGCCTTGATCCCCTTCATGGGCTGCAGCTGTGAGGACTTTTAAAAGGACAAACTGTGCATGGGGCAGTGCTGGAAGCAAAGCATGAAAATATTTCTAGTCTGTCAGTTCTTATCTGAGTTTTGGCATCCTTTCCAGTGTGTGTATTTCAATATCTGTGGACATCTACAAGCCCTTATCCTGCTTTGTCTCATTAATTGCTTCAGTGTGTTTGTGTTGTTTTTTTCCTATTTATAATTTATATGTATTTTGAGTTTCAACGGCATTTCTTCCTTTTCACAACTGTTTGTGGGGGAGTTTTTTCTCCAGTCCATGATAATTGGATCTTTGAAGCCAAGTTGAAGGAATTAAAGGGACTTCACCTGTTTTTGTGACTTTGTTGCTTTTGTATTCCACCCTGGGTCATCACACTCCATGGAATAGAAAGGGTTCCTCTTTCGAATGAAGAAGAAAGAGGAAAAAGGGAGATGTATCTACTGCCTTTGACTCAAATCCATATAAATATTAAATTTGATAGAACTGTAACTTAATACAGGTGTAAAGTCAACTTTGGACTTCTAAGCATGAGACCACCTGAAGGGAAGCATTCTTTGTTTCTAGCCTCTTATAGCGCTGATCTTACAGTGATAAACTCTGTGGCTTGATGATGGTTATATTATCCATTCAGTCATTTCCAGCTTTTGGCGATTCTGTGGGCCAGGTCTCTCCAAATCTATATACAGTATATAAAAGCTAAATACCACTCACGCATGATCACAACATCTCCAGAACCATAAAGCCTACAAAATTGAAATTTGGCACGTATGTTCCACTTGGCTTCTAGGTGCTCGCTAAGAAAGGATTTTTTGAAATGACCATCAGAGCATTAGTATTTCGTATATTATTATTATTAACACGCTCTGATGCTAAGGAGTTCTACTCCCCCTCCCCACCTGAAAAGAAATCTGTTCCAAATGCAAAACACAAGCAGAGGAGTGTCAGTTTCAGTTTTAGTTTCACAGAACAGTTGAGCTAAGCCACGCCCAGGCTCCTTGCTGTCTCCATGCTCACACAGCAAATACTGTTTCCGTTTCCAAACAGGCCTCAACTCTCACACACTGACAGGACACTAGCCAGATGAATACCGATGGATCCTGGTAAGCAGAGGCAGAATTTTCCTCCCCAAAAACTAAGCCTGATCACATCGTTTCATAGCGAAGCACGGGTATCGAGCTAGTCTTCCTATTTTTGCACTACTCCTTTGAGTTGTTCTATGCTCTGGCTCGTTCAGCTTTCAGGGTGTCCATCCACCATGTTCTTGGGCAGCTTGGTTTCCTTTTACCTCCAACTTTTCCCAACATGATTGCTTTCTCCAGTGAATTCCCCCACGTTTTGGCGAGACCTCTGTGGCTTTGTAGTAATGTCTTGGTTAAAAGTGTTTTTGGTGTTTCTATTCTTTCCCTCAGATCTACATTACCAATGTGTGTGAGGAAGTGGAAGCCTCTTCTGTAAACTCCGAATTGCAGTTAGCCGGCCTCCGATTTTTAACCAACATTTCCGTGACAAACGACTATCATTACATGATGACTAGCTTCATCCCCACTTTTCTGCACTTGCTGTTTGAAGGAAATGAAAGGATTCAGGTACAATAGTTTCCTGTTTTATCGTTAAAATAGAAGGGAACATTCAGTATTTAGTCTTTTAGGTTAATTCTTTAACCCAGAGGTCTCCAAACTTGGCAACTTTAAGACTTGTGGACTTCAACTCCCAGAATTCTCCAGCCAGCATAGCTGGTTTGGGGACCCCTGCTTTAACCTTAATTACTAACAAAATTACTTTAACACTAATTAATTACTCTGAAACTAACTATAGGCAGATCACAATCGAGTTCCAAGTTTCTGTTGATAAGCGAGACATTTGTTTGGTGAGTTTGCAATTCTTAAAATTCGTAACCTGGTTGTTAAGTGAATCTGGTTTCCCCATTGACTTTGCTTGTCAAGATGGTCATAAAAGGAGATCACAGGAGCCCGGGGCACTGCAATCATAATTTGATCACATCACTGTGGGGGATGCTGCAACGGTGATAAATGTGAACAACGGCCATAAGTCACTTAAGCCTCCAGAATCTGACAGCAGTGAGGAAGAGGAACAAGGGGAGCTTGTTCCCAGTGTGCGCATGCACAGAGCCGCCAGAAGGCAGGATCAGCTAAGACAAAAGGGGCAACTTGGGAGTAAGGCTTGGAGGTTATTGCCCCTTCCATAAGATATAAAGGAAGTGCAAAGGGACAGGAACCTTTGCAGGAAGCAACGTTGTTTGCTGTAATCGGTTTGGACTCTGAAAGCTCCATGGTGAATTTGTGCTCCATTTGGTTTTGGAAAGACTAATTGGGACATTAGTCGTTGGCAGCACTTCAAGTAAGATAAGGTGTGTTCTTATCAGACGTCTCTCGAAGAACTTTCGTGATGGAGTTCAAAGACCAGTCATTGTGCAGGGTGCCAAGATGTCTGATTGCCTGGGCAGCGTTTATTATTTTTATATGATTTTTACAAGCAGCAAAAGGCAACAAAGATACAGCATTAGGATTGGTGAAACCCCCCCTCCCCCAATCCTTAAGAATAGTAGTGATGTTAACAGATGAGATCATTGTACCAGTCCAGGACTTACCAGCCTGGGACAGGGAGTGAGATCATGCAAAGAGGCCCATGTAGGTATTGAGGCCCAGAGGCACAGCAGTGTGCTGCTTGCGCCCCCTACAGGATCTACATCTCTACTACACTACTACACTTTGGCAAATGTCCCTGGGACTAATTACAACTGGTTAAGACTCATTCTGGGCTGTGAATGACAATAATTCACTGCCATTGAACTAAAATAAAAGAGTTTTAGGTTTGTGTGTGTTTGTTGGTGTCTCAGGAAGCCTTGGTCAGAACAATGACATGGTATAAGTGTTAAAAATGAGAATGGAGTGTGTCTATTTGACTTTTCCAAACTGAAATAAAATCTTAAAGTCAAATATAAATTGGTAAATCATTTCAACGGGAACACAGAGAGTTCTTGATGTATGACCACAATTCAGCCTAATTTTTTTTCTGGCTGAGCAGGACAGTTGTCAAGTGAGTTTTGTTCCATGATACAACATTTCTTGCCACAGTTGTTAAGTGAATCACAGTTGTTAAGTTGCGCTGCAAAGCTCATAAATATCAGTCAGTTGCCAAGCATCCAAATTTTGATTCCATGAGCATTGGGATACTGCAAATGATCGTAAGTCTGAAAAATGGGCGTGTCATTTTTTCTAGTGCTGTTGTAGCTGACCGGTCACTAAATTGTAAGTCAAGGACTACCTGTACCACTTCATTCAATGCAAGCCATGTTCTCAACTATTTATTCCCTTTAAATCCTAGCTGTCCATCAAATGTACTTCTATCTCATATTAATTCGATAGACAAGTCAGAGGAACTCTTTTCAATATTACAGGTTCAAGTCCTGAAAGTCCTTGTGAATTTATCAGCAAACCCAGCTATGGCAGAACATCTACTTAATTCGCAGGTAAAGCTGCTTTCATCCTTTGCTCCTTCTCGTTCGACTGTTTCCTTCACTCGTTCATTTATTTGATTTCTTAGGCCAGTGGTGGCTAACCGTTTTGGGCTCCCATGTTAAAAATTGCATGCACACACGCCAGCACCCAGAAAGCAATGTGTGCGGGGGGGGGGCCCCACGCCCTCTGTGCATGCAAATGCGATCCCTCCACACGCCCCGCCCATCTCTGTGCGTGCATCTCCCATGCCCCCCCGTACATGCATGCCAGATACTCGACAATCGGGTGGGCGGCGCGCACACAAGCGCAGTGGGACTCTTCTGGGTGACCTCTCGTGTGTCGGCAGAAGTGGCTCTGCGTTCGCCATCACGGCTTTAGACTATGAATTCCTTCTAATTTTGAAGGAAAACATGTATCCTTTTATTGCATAGCCACTGAAACCTGTGCGCATCATTGTAAGCTTTATTTATAGCCCTTGTCGGTTTTAAAGTCCTAAACTTTAAAACAGCAATAGTTTTTGTTTACAAATAATTGCTGAAGTTATTCAGCATTTTGGGTTTGAAATGGAATAGACGTTATCCAGGAAACTGCATTCTAGAATCTAGAATTATTATTATTTTTGGAAGCATAATGTATAAATGAATACATTTTCAGAAATTATGCTCCCTGATTTTACTCAACATATAATTGCCTATTAAGTCATTGGGACCATCCAAAGCAATGTATTGCTCTTATCTACTCAGCATTAACTTTGTTAAATAAATAAATGCACGTGAATAAATAAATGCACGCTGTTTCTTTAAACTTAAACTACAAATGAACATGGTTTACATTTTTTTCCATGTCTTTCCAGGCACCTCTTCTCCTATCTCTTTTTGACAGCTGCATAAACAAAGATGTTTTGCTCAGAGTCCTTGTGTTCACCACGAATCTGACAAAGTCCATGAGACACGACAAGGGTTCTGCTATCCACAACCTATACAATGAAGATTCAATTTTTTCTACTCTCTCCGACAATTCTCTATATACTCAAAAACTGGCATTTCTGTTGCATCATCACGATGCAGAAGTTAAAGAACAAGTGGCAAAACTAATAATGCAGCAGTGCTAAGCTCAGAGGTCCACCTCGAATCATTCCATCTTCAAAATCCTGAATGGCATAAAAGATATATCGATGATTACCTCCGATAGTCATAGATAGAGGGACGCGGTGGCTCAGTGGCTAAGACGCTGAGCTTGTCTATCAGAAAGGTTGGCGGTTCGAATCCCTAGCGCCGCTTAATGGAGTGAGCTCCCGTTACTTGTCCCACCTTCTGCCAACCTAGCAGTTCGAAAGCACATAAAAAATGCAAGTAGAAAAAATAGGGACCCCTTTGGTGGGAAGGGAACAGCGTTCCATGCGCCTTCGGCGTTTAGTCATGCCGGTCACATGACCAAGGAGATGTCTTCGGACAGCATTGGCTCTTCGGCTTTGTAATGGAGATGAACACTGCCCCCTAGAGCCAGAAACGACTAGTACGTATATGCAAAGGAAACATTTACCTTTACCTTACCTCGAATAACTATTTTATTGTAAAGTTTTCTCATTTTTAACTGGAGAACTGTTATCAATCCTGGACATTTCCTTCTGCCTCTATGATATTGTCCCCTTCTCTGGAAATAAAAAGAAGGTCCATGAAGGACCAGTGCGTGGACCCTGAAATAACCTGGAATTTCAGGACAGCGTTTGGAGGTTCGTTCTCCAAACTTGTGAGTTGGTTTCCGAACGTTTCATTACCAGGCGAGGTAACATCTTCAGTGAAATTCGGGCAATTTAGGGAATTATTTATATATCTTCTTCCAGGGGTGAGCTTCAAAAATTTTAGCAAAGGGTTCTCTGCCCGGGTGCTGGGTGGGCGTGGCCATGGTGGGCGTGGCCTCATCGGCCTCCTGCATCATGGTGGGAGGGGGGCTCTGGAGGCTTTCCTCAAGCCTCCGGGAGGGCGAAAACTGCCTCTCAGGCCTCTGGAGGCTGGAAACGGGCCTGTTTCCAGCCTTCTGGAACTTCTGGGCCCGTTTTTCACACTCCCCGAGCCTCCCCGTGGGCCCTGCACTTACTGGCTTCCAAAATGGGCCACATGGGGACTCCAGGGAGGGGAGGGGTAGGCAGGGCCAGCTAGGGGTGGGATTTACCAGTTCACTGAACCGGCAATTAAAAATTATAAAATTAGTTACCGGTTCGCCCAAACCAGGACGAATCGGTAGCAGCCCACCTCCTGGTCACCTCTACTCAAACCACCAGTGCGGGGAGGCAGGGAATGTTACAGGTCACTTCTCCTAAGGAGGACCATCTAATGAGACCAAGAAGAAAGGTCTTCTCTTGTGTTGGCTCCCTCACTCCCCTATAGAATATCGTCCCTGAAGAAATAAGAGTGGCTTTCACATTGACACCAAGACCTGGTTTTGCCAACAGGCCTGGGGATTCCAGAGTGGGATGGAGGCCATCAAATGGCTCATTTGTTATCACCAGGCTGGTGTAAGTGGGGGAGTTATTATTTTTATTGTTTTTGTAATGGGCTTTTAGCCTTGAAAGTTGCAAATAAGCCTTGGTAAGACCACACTTTGCAAACTCCATCCAATTTTGGTTGCCATGATGGGAAAAAAGATGTTGAGTTTCTCGAAAGGGTACAGGGAAGAGCAAGCAAGATTGGAGGCTATACAACGAATGGCTGCAGGATTTTGGTATGTCTAGTTTAATAACAATGTTCCAATATCTCAGGGGTTGCCACAAAGAAGAGGGAGTCAAGCTATTCTCCAAAGCACCTGAGGGCAGGACAAGAAGCAATGGGTAGAAACTCATCATGGAGAGAAGCAACCTAGAAATAAGAAATGTTCAAACAGAACAATTAACCAGTGGAACAACTTTCCTACCTGAAGTTGTGAATGCGCCAATCCTGGAAGTTTAAAAAGACGGAATTGGACTGGACAACCCTTTGTCTGAAATGGTATAAGGTTTTCTGCCTTAGCAGGGGGTTGGACTAGAAGACCTCCAAGGTCCCTTCCAACGCTATTAATTCTGTTCAAGTTGTCCGGAATCGCTTAAGAGTGAGTTGGGCGTCTATATATATTTTCTGAAATAAATACATAGTCCAAACGCTTCTAAAGCATATGGCAAGTTGTAAAGATGGGTTAATAAAACCCCAGTTATTGTTCCAGGATATCAACAGTAAAGTCCTTGTAAGAAGTCCAAGAACAGGCTACGGCATGTTCCTGATACAAATCACATATTCCTCCTCGGCAGTCTTTTCAGATTTCATGCTTCAAGAGGAGAAAGAATGGATCATTCAGTTGTTTAGGCTTGCATGGCAGTCAGTTGCAATTTCCATGGGAAGTGAAATGCTTGCAGTGTGCCAAAATATTTTCATTTTTTTTTAACTTGCAAATGTATATCCTTTTTTGTTCAGGGGCTCCTAATGATAGAAGTGTTCTTCTCTTTTCCCCCCCTATAACAACCCTTCTTTAGAGTAAGTTGGCATGAGAATATGACTGTCTCAAAGTCACCCGATAAATTTCGTAGAACATTGAATAATCAGGTTGGAAGGGATCTTGGAGGTCTTCTAGTCCAGCCCCCTGCTCAAACAAAAAACCCTACCATTTCAGACAAATGGGTCAGCCTGTCCTTGAAAATCTCTAGTGATGGAACATCCACAATTTCTGGAGGCAATCCATTCCAGGGATTGTTCTGTCAGGAAATTTCTCCTTGGTTCTAGGTTGGATCTCTCTAATAATCTTCCCCCCAAATAATGGAATTTGCAGAAATGAGTAAATTGACATTAGCAATTAGAGAGCAAGAAGATAAAAGAGTATTGTAAAATTTGGGATTTATCTTATCAGTGGTTAAATAAGAAAATAGGGAAATAAAATATAATACAATATAAAGATGATAATAAAGACAAGACAATGTAATATGTTGTAATTGATTACAATGAAATGAATTATACTTATGAATCAAGATATGTAAAAAAATTGAGATTTGCTCAAAAAGGATGATGCAATTTATAATTAAAGTCTAATGAGTTAATATAAAATAATATGCATATTTATATGAGTTTTAATAATGTATCTAGAAGGGAAAGACTGTTGATATTGTGCACAAGAAGATATGTACCAACCGACACACACTGTAGAAAGGATAAATAGTTTTATGTTTTGTGTTTATGTTTGTGTTTGTTTATGTTTGTTGTTAAAAAATAAAATTGAAAAAAAAATCTTCCCCCCATTACTGATCATCCTCCAGTTACGACCACAATTGAGCCCAATTTTTCTGTCGCTAAGTGAGATGATCGTTAAGTGAGTTTTGCTCTGTTTTGCAACCACGTTTGCCACAGTTATTACGTGAATTGCTGCCGGTGTTCAGTTAGTAACAGGTTGTTAAGTGAATCCGACTTTCCTGTGGACTTTGCTTGTCAGAAGGTCGCAACTATGGGACGCTGCAACCGTCATAATTACATGCCAGTTGCCAAGCCTCCGAATGTTGATTGTATGACCATGAGATGCTGCAACGGTTGTGTTATAAGTTTGAATGGCCACTAAATGAATGGTTTAAGTAAAGGACTACTTATATATCTTGTCATGCCCCTGGCCCTCAAACTGCTCTTCTGTGTGATCCTTAAGGACTGGAAGACTGCTATCATGTCACTCCCTAGTCAGGTGGGCTTCACATAATTTAATAACTGGTTTGCATAGTGCAGAACTGAAAATGTGAACCTTCCACACTTACATGTGGGTTCAAACACATGGTGATTTCATGTGCGCAGCTTCCAGCACACCTCGGGCAGCCACAGTGAGTAGAGTGGGCGAGCCGCGAAAATCAGCTGGGCTGCATGGGCGGAGTGAGTGAGCCAGAGAGTGAGATATATAGGACAGGATAGCACTGGGGCCGGTGGACAGGTCCAGCCAGTTGTCAGAACTACCGGTACAGGCGAACTGGTCCGAACCAGCAGCAGCCCACCTCTGCCCCAGTCTTTCTGTTTGTTAGACTAGACATAGCCAATTCCTGCAATCATTCTTCATGTGTTTTAGCCTCTGGTCCCTTAATCATCTTTATTGCTCTTCCTTGCATCAGTGCAATGGTGATATGCTACCGGTTTGGACCGGTTTGGACGAACCGGTAGTAAAAAAGCCTCCCAATGATCAGCAGAGGAGAGGGGGAAAAAGCCGCCTACTATCATCTGAGAGGAGAAAGAAAAGCAGAGGAGTGGCTCTCCCAGCCGCCCCTGTGCTTTTCTTTCTCCTCTCAGATGATAGGCGGTGCAGGGCTCAGCTGGTGTGTGGAAAGCTGCACGCGTGTTAGGTACACACACACGACCACTGAACCAGTAGTGGAACAGGTAGGATCCCACTGCTGCATCAGTGGCAAAGGGTGAACCAGAACATGGTTCCCTTAATCTTGGCTCGACACCTGAGCCACTCTATCAGCCAGTCCTAGGAAAAAAATCTTTAATTCTTATCTTGGACTCGTACAGCCAAAGGAGGAAAGACAAGCTCGAGAAAATTAAAATTAAATTAAATTGTGGTGTTTCACACAAAGACAAAGCTAGAACGATCGCTCGTATTTCAAACGGTGACATTGCCCTGTGTATCCAGGGTCATCTTTGGAAGCTCTATTCCATGCTACCACATAGCCTGAGAAAGTGGGAGGGAGAGATTTCAATTAAGTAGCTCTAAGTAGACAAAATTATTTTGTTAGTTCAAGGTTATTTAGTATGGCGCAGGATGAAATCTTATACTTTTGGACGGATCGTGATTGGGCCATGTAATGTGGTGATGACCAAGGCGGGATGGATTTGTAGTTTGGGAAATTGTGGAAAGCCTGAAAAAACTTGTAGATTCGGGTTTCCACAGATGTGCCAGGTGCTATTCTAATAAAGGTACTTTTGAGATATGTTTGTCTCAAGAGTTACTGATTGGAATGGAGGTTTGCTGGAACCCTGACATCCGGCTTCCCTGTTGACGTCAGAAGGTCACAAAAGGGGATCGCATGACCCTCCCCCCAGGACACTGCAACCGTCATAAATATGAAAGTTGCCAAGGGTCTGAATTTTGATCATGTGACCATGGGGATGGCTGAAATGGTTAAGATTGTAAAAAATGGTCAAATGGAAAACTTTTTTCAGTGCTGTAACTTCGATCACTAAACAAATTGTGGTACTATCTGTAGTGGCTCCAAACTCATATTTTCCCTATAGCAACTGCTCTCTGAGGTGACTTGGCCTGAAGAAAACAAGATTTGGGATAAATTGGCCCTGCCATTTTTCATCCCCAATGGAGGATTAAAAACTCAGATCTCTGTTTCTAGTCCAACACAATGGTGGGATTCTACTGGTTTGGCCTGGTTCTGTCGAGCCGGTAGCCGGCACAGCAATTGCCGTGCAGCAGCAGCTGAAGCCTTAGGAAGAGTGCAGGATTGCAGGAGGGGCTTCAAAACGCCTCTGCGCCTGTGCAAAGTGTATTTGGCACACACACGTGCACACAAAGTGTGCACAAATGCGTAAAGCACGCCCAACCAAGCCACGGCCACCGAACCAGTGATAAAGAATATTTGAAACACACCACTGGTCCAATACCTTTAAGGACTATCCCAAACAATCCATTTAGGAACAACGACAACATGTTAAGAACATTTGGAGCGGGAGTGAGGCGAGAATTTATTGTCAAAGTAGCAGGTTCACACAAGCATATTTGGTCATGTTTAATGCTGAGCAAATCCATCCATCATCAGTGATTTCAGCTTCGTAAGGAATCCATACACCTATTTCCCACATCATGTTCTTAAAATTACGGGTTTTGGATTTCACAATAAGGAAAGAAGCAAGCGCAAACAAAAACGGAGCCGAGTAAAAGATTTTTGGAGAAATTGATGCTTTGTTAACATTTGCCAATCATATTCTCAAACCATAGAAGGCTTTGGAGGACCATAACAAACAACTCACAGTCACAGCACAACGCACACACTTGTTTTGGCCAGCAGCACAAGAAATGTTAGGCATTTTTTTTTCCAGATTAAGAAACTCTCGGAAAGGCACGTTTCAATGGATCGTTTCAAATCAAAGCTTCCGTGTTTGCAAGTTAAACGTGTGTGTAAGCATTTGGTAAAATCTGGGTTTTCCTTAAAATGTGCTTTAGCAGCAACTTTACGTTGGAAGACTCATTTCAAATCCTACAATTCAACAGCTTCGAAGGCACCTGGCATACCCTCTGGGTGAGAGAGTTTGAAAAGTCCTTGGCCCATTGTAAAGGTGCCGGGTTCAAAACACAGATTCCACCACAATCACTACTGTATACGGCAGGGGGTCTTCAAACTTGACAGCTTTAAGACTTGTGGACTTCAACTCCCAGAGTCATGTTAGCTCAGGAATTCTGGGAGTTGAAGTCCACAAGTCTCAAACTTGCCAAGTTTTGAAGGCCCTTGGTATATGGGTTGTACGTGAAACTTTAAAAATATTGTCAGGTTTGCATCAATATTTTAAAAACCAGCCATGCTGTAGGAATGTGTGTTCCAAAAAAATGATCCATGGTATAAATTGCTAAATGCCTTTCAGCCTGCCTTTTAATGTAGGGTTCGTGTCTGGTTAAACACGCATAGAAAATAGTGATTTCTGAGTTAACCCAACGGCATGCCAGGAACGGTTTTCAATTCGTGTATAAATCCAACACCTGGTTATGAATACAAAGGTGTCGTTTTTGGGTAGCCTTGTGTTTTTATCCCAGCATCTTCACGCACAATTTTTTTGTTCCCCTCTGGATTAGTTAATAAATGGGAGAGGGCTGAAGGATTCTACAATTCTTACCACCACCACACATACCTGTATTAGGCAAGTCTCATCAGCACTGATTTGCATATTAGTAGTCGGACTAAAATTTACATTCATTTTTACATGCAACCAGGCTCCATCAAGCACTGAACACATGCTGTTAAAGAGTGTCTGGTTGGAAATTAATTCTTAGCAGTTATTTTATACTGTTCCAATAAAAGAATCCCTGTTTATTTAAAAGTTATTTGTAGCTCGGTTAACGCTCTCCACGGAAATTTGTCCATCAAAAATCAAGTTACCAAATCGATATGCAAGATTTTTTAAAAGAGGTGGTTAAAATTAAGCACGCCTGAAATCTTCAAAAGCCTATTTAATTTTTGTTTTACAAAAAAAAATATTCACTCTTATTTCCCACCACCCACCCCAGTTATGGTTAATAAGAAGTTTTTCTGCTTCTATTCAAATCCGTCATCATTAATATTTAAATCTCGTGATTCTCCGTGGTTCAAAACAAAGAAGTCTTCCGTTTGCAATCTGTGTCTGTCAAGAGCTTCCTTCAGTTTCACAGGTGGATCTAAGCAGTACTGCGAATAAAAAAACAGGAAATGCCAGATTAGACATAAATTAAATTCTGTGTTGGGTATAGTAACTACCAACTTGAAATCAAATTAAATGTCTATGCAGATTCTCAATCATCCAGGTCATAGTTGTCGCAAAGGTGCTTTTTCAAGAGGCAACCAGACATTCTGGTTTTGCTTTGAAGACATTTTGCTTCTCAAGCAAGATTCTTCAGCTCTGACTGGATGGTGGGGAATGGAAGGAATTTATATTCCTTGCAGACAGCTGGACATTTGTATTCTTTTAGGTAGTCGCTGAGGCCGCTTGGAGGCTTATCTGTGTTCTCAGAGTCGCCTGAGTGGTGCAAATGGGTGTGGAGCCTTCTTGGAACTGTTGAAAGGACTGTGTTGTAGATTGGAGATAGAGGGTGTCCCTCCCCCTCTGTTCAATTTTGACATAGATTGGCCTCTTTGACTCCTCTTTCAAACCAACGGTCCTCTCTGTCCAAAATGTAGACAGACATAATCCCTTGTGGGATGGAGTCTGGGCAACGGAATGGAGCTAGCAGAGTCTTTACTGGCCAGATGCCCTTCCTGTTGCCGATGCAGAGTTTTGTTCAGCAGATATATTCTCCTTGTGCCCAGAGAGAGAAATATCTGCCTCTACTTTTTGTATTTTATGATATAAACCAATTTTTAAAAAAAAGAACCTGAGGAATTCATCACTCTAGAGCCCTCTATTTTAAGCCAAAGGTCAGCAGGCCACGCCACTTATGAGTTATACGTACCTCGTTGGCTAAAGCAAAAGTTCCCCAATGAATCCCAATGGATTTTTTTGCTTGTACGTCAATGTGGATCTGTACTGATTCTTCAGGGTTCACATGTTGGGATTTCATAAACCACCTACCCCCCCAAAACAACATCATTAGTTTCCTTGAAGGTTACTTTGACAATTTTGTTCTCCTAATTGTATTTTGTTTGTTTTTTACAAAATCGGTGCTTTAATTACAACTTTTAATTTTCTGGCCAACGTAAACCTCCCAGGTGTCCTTTTATTTTGTATATTTATAGGTTTTCCTGGCTATTCCCACGCAGCTAAGAATAGTTGCCTATTCAACTGTTAAGCTGCCTCTTAGCTAAATGTAAATTTTTGCAAAACACCCCATAGATTACACCTAGTTCCTTTCTCTTGTCTTGCTGTCACCCCTCCCTTGTTCATCGTTAAGTAATCTTACTCTCCTGCCTCTCTTTGTAATTCAGCCGTTCTCAACTCGGGCGTCCTCAAAACGGGTGGGGACTGATTGCGCCCAGAATTTGGCAGTTTCGATCTGTCTACGGGAGAAAGCTGATTTTGACTGTGGGTTTTCGTTGTAAGGATTTGGACACTTCTTATATACTAGATAATAGACTGCATAAGAGCAGGCCAAGCTGGAAGGTGGAGTTAAACAAGTCATTAGTTTGGAGTCTTTGCTTTGCCAAACAGAGACCCAAGTCCAGCCCCGGTCCGTAAATTCCATTGGCCCTTATTTAGCAGCAGTTCAGTTTTGACTGTTAGTTGACCAGATTCTTCTGTACGGATAGTCCTCAAGTTACAACCCCACCTGAGCCCGACATTTGTGTTGCTAAGTAAAACATTCGTAAAGTGAGTTCGCCCCATTTTACGACTTTTGTTAAGGGAATCATTGCATTTGCTAGGTTAGTGACATGGTTGTCAAGAGAATCTGGCTTCCCCGTTGACGTTGCTTGTCGGAAGGTCGCAAAATGACCCCTGGCCATGCCTACCCAGGTTTTTTTTTTGCTCCTGGTGTTTTCTGTGAGATATGGGTCTCTCTTTCTCTTTGTCCCCCTCTCTCCCTCTCATTTCTGTTTTTCTCACTTTTTCCACCACCTCTCCCTCTCTTCTTTCTTTCTGTTTCTTTCTTCCTTTCTTTCCCGCTTCTCTCTTTTATTTCCCTCTCTCATTCTCTCCCACCAGCTCTCTCATTTCTCTCCCTCTTCCCCTTCTCTCTCTCATCTGTTTATCTTTTCCCTCTCTCTCTTTCTCTCCCTCCATCATTTTCCCATTTCTCTTTCTTTTTCTCCCCCTTTCCCTCTCTCATTTCTCTCTTTCTCTCCCTCTTTGTTATTTTTTCCTCTCCCTCTTTCTTTTCTTTTTGTTTCCTTCTCTTTTCCCTCTCTCATTCTGTCCCTTCAGCTCTCTCATTTCTCTCCTTCTCCCCTTCTCTCTCTCATGTTTCTCTTTTCCCTCTCTCTCATTCTCTCCCTCCATCATTTTCCCATTTCTCTTTCTTTTTCTCCCCTTTTCTCTCTCTCTCATTTTTCTCTCCCTCTTTGTTTTTTTCCTCTCCCTCTTTCTCTCTTTTCTTTCTTTCTCTTCCTTCTCTCTCTCATTTGTTTCCCTCTCTTTTCCCTCTCTCTCATTCTCTTCCTCCACCTCTGTCTCATTTCTGTGTCCCACTCCCCTTCTCTCTCGCTCTCATTTGTGACTGGCTGCTTTTTACAGTTCTGCGTCCTTCACAGGCAGCTCAGCACCAGCCATGGTCGCCTTCATGTCAGCTCAGGAAGAGGGGAGCGGCCACTGCCACCAAATGCAGGGAGGGGAGAGCCCCTAATAGTCCACCCCTACTGAGAATCTTGACAGACTTTCTGTAGGCCGATATTGTCGGCCTCCATGCTTTCACAACCTCACCTTGGCTCGTAGGCTCCGATGGGAATGGCTGCCAGATCGAACGGCCCAAACCGTTTCCCTATTTCCTCAAAGGCGACGCAGTAGCCAGTGTCTCCCGCGAAAAAGAACCTGTTCCAGGGACCCAGAACCGACCAGCTTCCCCAAAGAACCTTGTTTTCGTCCGTGGCGGTCCTTTTGGACCAATGCTGAGCAGGAGTGAAAACAAAGGTAACGGCGTCGTGGCCAGGAATGCAGTTCTCTCCCCACCAATCCAGTTCGATGACATTCTCGCAGCCATATTTCTGCATCCAGTCTAAAAGGCCCAGCGGCACGAACCACCGCAACTCACTGCCGAAACGCGCATTTAAACTTACAACCGTGAGGTAATCCAGATGGTCGTAATGATCGTGGCTGATCAACACCGCGTCTATCTTGGGCAGTTCGCTGACGGTGCACGGAGGGCCTCGGAAACGTTTAGGGCCCAGAAACTGCACCGGGGAAGCCCGCTGGCTAAAGATGGGGTCGGTAATAAAGGTGACTTCATCCATTTCTACCAACACCGACGCATGTCCGAGCCACGTTACTCGCATACCAACTCCGGTCTTTCCGAACAGTTCAGGGTTTTGGACAAAATAAGGTGTCAACACCGGGAGGTGCATGTCAAGCACCTAGCAACAGAAAAAACACAAAAGACAAAGTCAGAAAACAGGTCCTATTTCCAAACGACAAATATTTATATGTATGTATGTATGTATGTATGTATGTATGTGTATGTGTATGTGTATGTGTATGTGTATGTGTATATATATATATACAGTATATTGCTTACAACTATAAATACAAAACACAGTACAGCCGTTTTGGCATTACTTTGCCACACATACCAAAGGTGTAACCAAATCCATTAACATTTCTATTATTGGTACAGTATTTACATTTTGCTTCCAATCCTCCTAGCTGTTTTCGTTCAGACCTTCCCCTCTTTTTTTTGCAGCCACAGATAAAACTTGTGCCAAGTATCGTAATATTCTGAATTCCCTTTATTTTTCATTTCTAAAGTTAGTCTATCGGATTCTGCACACGCCATTATTTTCCTTATTATCTCTCTTTTCGGAGGTAACCAAATGATAACAATTATGTGTCTTAATCAATCAATCAATCAATCAATCAATCAATCAATCAATCAATCAATCAATTAGAATAAAGCTTGGAAGGGACCTTATACCAGTGGTGGCTAACCTTTTTGGGCTCCCGTGCCGATAATAGTGCACACACCTGTGCGCTTGTGTGCCATCACCGCAATGTGTGTGACCCCCTATGCCTCCTTGCACATGCCTCCCCATGTGCTGCACACTTCTACACGTGTGCATGTCTCCCGCGCACACATGCGCAGTAGACCTTTTCTGGGCAAGGGCTCGCGTGCTGGCAGTAATGGCTCTGCGTGCCACTTCTGGCACGGTGCCATAGGTTCACCACCACGGCCTTATACTACTTCAGACAAGGGGCTGTTCAACCTCTTTAAAAAATTCAAGCAATGAAGCATCCACAACTTTTGGGACGAGCTGGTTCCACTGGTTAATTGTCCTGTTAGGAAGTTTCTCCTAAATTCCAGGTCGCTTCTCTCCTTGATTAGTTTCCATCCATTGTTTCTTCTCCTGCCCTCTGGTGCTTTGGAAAATAAGTTGTGTCCCCACCCTCTTTGTGGCAGCCTGTCAAATACTGGAATACTACTATCATGTCACCCCTAGTCCTTCTTTTCTCTAGACCAGGTGTCAGCAACCTGTGGCTCTGGAGCCTCATGCGGCTCTTTGGGCCTTTTGCTGTCGCTCCCTGTTGGGTGATCCCACCACTGGCTGACCACACCACTCTCCCTCCCCTCCCAGTCACTCCTCGCCTGGCCTGAGGAGGTAAAATACAAAAAACAGAAGTGAGAGGGAGGGAGGGAGGGAGGGAGGGAGGGAGGGAGAGAGAGATCCATTTCCCACAGAAAACACGTGACTGAGTGGGAGTGATGTGGAGTTGGCCACGCCCACCCAGGTTTTGTGGCTCCCAGTGTTTTCTTTTCTGTGGGAAACGGGTCCAAACGACTATTTTGAGTGTTTAAGGATGCTGATCCCTGCTCTAGACAGACCATACCCAAATCCTGCAACTGTTCTTCATATGTTTTAGTCTCCAGGCCTTTAATCATCTTTCCTCTGCACTTTTCCCAAAGCCTCAAAATTTTATTTTTATTTTGGTACTGCAGTGACCAAAACCGGATGCGGTATTCCAGGTGTGGTCTTACTAAAGGGCTCTATAAAGTGTTCGTAATACTTCATTCAACTGTGATTTTAGGCCTCTGTTTATACACCCAAGGGTTGTATTAGCTTTTTTGGCTGCTGCTCCAAACTGCTGGCTCCTGTTTAAGCGATCGTCTCTATTAGGACTCCAAGCTCACTCTTACAGTTCATGTTTTTGAGCCAGGTTTCGCCTAATCTGTACTTGTACCTTACATTTTTCCTGCCTATGTGTAAAACCTTGTTTTTCTCCACACCAAATTTCCTATTGTTGGCTAGGGCCTGTTGTTCAAGTCTGTCAAGATGTTTTTGGATCCTGAACTTGTCTTGCCATCCTTCAGCCAGTCAAGGTTATTATTCAGCTAATTTGTCCCTTCTGGCTGCCTTATGAACATTCATTGGATAAGCACATTCAAACATGGTTCATGGCATCTCCGGTGGAGGGCAATTTATAAGGATAACTAGATAATGGTAGATACCTAACAAGGTGCATTCCTGTAAATAGCTGATGCATTTGAAGAGAATGGATTGGTCAGGACCCTGAAATAAATCAACGCAGGGCACACAAAAAAGATTTGAACTGACAAGGTTTAAGGATACCATTCAAGTCGACTACGGCAGAAAACATTTCTGTAAGCTTAGAATAGAATAACAGAATTGGAAGGGACCTTGGAGGTCATCTAGTCCAGTGATGGTGAACCTTTTTGTTGAGGTGTGCCGAAAGCATGCGCGTGCCAGCACCCACAATGCAATGTGCCCTGCCCCCTGCACATGCATGCACAACACCCTGCCCTGCCCCTTTACCTGCACTGCACATGTGCGTGCCTTCCAGCTGATTTTCGGCCCGTTTGAGGCCTCCCAGAGGCTCAAGGGAAGCCTCTGCAGCCTCAGGAGGCCAAAAAACGGACCTTCCAGAAATATCAGAAGTGCTCGTTTTAAGCCTCTGGAGGGCCTCTGGAGCCCGCGGAGGCCCAAGGGAAGCCTCAGGAGCCTCAGGAGGGTGAAAACGGGCCCATTTCGGCACTCCCAGTATTTCCGGAAGGCCCGTTTTTTGTGTTCGTAAGTCAAGAACTACCTGTCTTTTAGTCAGCAAAACAATGTAACACAAATTAAATCTAAAGTTCTCGGTAGGGTTAGACTTTACTGTAAACCCTTCGAGCAGACTTAGAAGCAAACAACATGGCAGTTAATCCTTTAATAGCTTTACTTGGTATTAGCTCAGCTGCAAAAATACTTATAGCCTGAGTGTAAGACTAGCAACAGATGCTCCAAAGCTGGAAACATTCACAAATAGAACACAAAAACAACTCTTTGTGGGAAAATGTGGTCATAGCTATGTTTATTTGGATCAACAAAAGCCCCGTGGAAAAACATCTGATTTAATTTAGGATGCAAAGGAAGGAAACAGACAGTAGCAGGGGAGAAAAAATAAGATTATATACTAGGCCACGAGTCGGCAACCTGAGGCTCTGGAGCCACATGTGGCTCTTTCATCCCCCCATGCTATGGCTCCTTGTTGCCAGTCAGCTCCACAATTGCTAGGGCTTTAGGTTAGGACAGGTAGAGGAAAAAAGGATGCCACACTAGGAGGAGACTCTATGGTGGGGGAACCGGACTTCAGGTTAACAGAGGAAAAAGGACGCCACACTAGGAGGAGACTCTATGGTGGGGGAACCGGACTTTCAGTCGGCTCCAGAATTGAATGGGGGTTTCCAGTTAGAACCTTTGTGGCTTTTTCAGTGTTTAAGGTTGCCGACCCCTGTACTAGGCAGATTAGCATCCAGTCTGCACCAAGGAACACAATGATCAAATATACAACATTTGCAACCATCCTTTCTTTGCAATGCAGGTAGTCCTCAATTCGCAACCAGTTGCTTAGTAACCATCCAGAGTTATGACAGAGGCCCCCCCCCAATGGTACTTACAACCTGGTTCCCAAGTTGCAACATTCATCCCTCTCCCACATTTGCGTCTGTTTGCAGGGTCCTGTGGTCGCATGACCCCGATTTACTAATTGCTTTTTATTTCCAGTTTCCAGGAAGAAAAAAAATGTCCACAGCAGACAATGGATCCACTTAACAACCCAAGGATTCACTTTATAACTGCTGCATTTGTCAGGGTTCCAAGTAATACATCCATACAGCAAACAAAACTCCAAGGCAGGTAGTTTCCTCAAAGAATAGTTTTATTGGATATATCATATTCGCTCAATACCTGTGCTTCGCTATGAAACTATGTGGTCGGGCTTAGTTTTTGGGGAGGAAAATAAGGGGGAGAAATTCTGCCTCTGCCTACCATCATCCATCAGTATTCATCTGGCTAGAGTCCTGTCAGTGTGCATGCACGCACAATCCCCCCCCGCCACCCCCTTACCTGCACTGCCCCTAACAGCTAATTTTTCGGCTGGTTCAAGGCCTTTTTCGGCCTCCCAGAGGCTTGGAAAAAGCCTCCGCAAGGCTTTTCAGGATGAATTATAGGCCCATTTAGTCACTTCTGGTATAACAGGAAGTGACGAAACGGGCCTATAATTCGTCCTGAAAAGCCTTGCAGAAGCTTTTTCCAACCCTCTGGGAGGTCGAAAAAGGCCTCAAACCAACCGGGAAAAAAATCAGCTGTGAGGCGCACACATGTGCATTGAGGGAAGTTTGCCTGTGGCTCGCATGCCAGCACAAATGCCATAGGTTCACCATCACGGTGCTAGGGTAACACTGAACAATGTATACTGGTGAAGCAGTTTTAAGTATATAGTGCTAATAATTGAAAAGACAACCTTTTATTAACCACATTAGATTTCAAGACTGACAATGTATGTATTATTTATAACATAATGTCAATCTGAAGAAATCAAGAACAAAACTCAACAAACTACACATTTTTTCTTTACCGCTGACAACCCCCTGGATTCTAAAGCCACAAGATAAAGGTACCAGAACATCAAAGAGGAAAAATATAAACCAAATACGTATCGGGACCGCATTGTAAATTATTTAGGAAAAAGGTTATTTGCTAATTAAGTACATCGACATATTATGCTGGGTTAGGATGGTTTGTTGCACTTGCACTTAAATAGCTATGTCTGCTTCACCCATTAAATTGTTTTAGGGTGGTATTATATTCAATAATTCGAGTGTAAGTCATCATCAATTTATTTGCAGGTGGCCCTTTCCGAACACTGAAGCACAATCCACCGTGAATGCATGTTACCTGTTTTGAACTGGGGACTTTGCTGTTGTCCTTTTCTGTAAAAATCCACTTCAAGACATTTGGGAAGCTTACTGGTTTCCAGGTTGGCCAGGGGTTCATAAACCTGCCATCTTTACCCTTCTTCGACTTGGTTACGTCTTCCTCCAGTCGATAATCCAATCGGAAGCTTTTTCTAGACATCCTGGAAGAATTGCTGCCCCGGGAACCTTGATTTGAATCCTGACGTTTTCTTACTTCTTCTTTCAAGTTGGAATTGCAAGGCTGTTCTTCATCCATTTCATTTGGTGACAAACTAGAGAGGGGGGAAAAAAAAGTTAATTCTCTTTCTTAACTGGAACATTAAAGGAAAGAGGGAAAAATCCAGGCATACCGTAAAAACCTTCTCCCCACCCCCCAACTGCAAATTCTTCCTCTACGTTTGCACGCCAAGAATGTTTAAGAGCAGGTCTTAGCATGCAGACGTTAGAATTCTTTTAACAAATTCATGGTGGGAAGCGTGTTTTGGCTTTTAAGCAGCATCGTCTTGTTGGCTGCATTCCAGGAAGAGCTTTGGCTGAATCACAAGCTGCTTGTGAAGTTCACAATTTTATTTATTTATTTTTGGGGGGAGGATGTTTTTTTCCCCCTCTTATTCATGAATATTTTGAATGCAGTGTATTGTCCCAGGGCATGTCATTTACAAAAAAATGTTCTAATCAAGACAGGTTCCAATTTTGCAAGCCTGTGGAGACCACAGATTTCTTTCATTTTTTTAAGTAACTGGATTAGTAAACTGGAGCAGCATTTGTTGCGATGTTGACAGAAGAACAAAAGTTTCATTTTAATCCATGGCTTCTCACAGACGTACAGAGTCCAGCAAGCTGGAAAACGTTCACTAATTCTGAGAGGTGCAAAATTTGCTGAGTTGGATTTTAAAAAAAAACACCACAACAACTCTGGAATACAATCTCATCTCTGAGGTCGAAAAGGGTAAATGCCGCAGGGAACGGTGCGAGATACATGGCAAGCCATAGAAATATTGCTTGTTTTTATTTTTATTTAGAAAATTTAAATGGCTGTCCACTCACTCTCAGTGTCTCTGGGCAACTTACAAAAAAACCAAAAAGAAAAAGAAAACAATATACAACAATAAACCAGGAGAACAGCTTGCCCCAGAAGTTGTGGGGGCTCATCACTGGAGGTTTTTAAGAAATGACTGGACAGTCGCTTGTCGGAGATGGTATAGGTCCGTGATGGCGAATCTATGACACGCATGCCACAGATGACACACTGAGCCATTTGTGCGGGCACACGAGCCCCAGGCAAACTTGCCTGCACTGCACATGCGCGTGCCTTCCAGCTGATTTTCAGCCCGTTTGAGGCCTTTTTGCCCTCCTGGAGGCTTGAGGAAAGCCTCTGCAGCCTCGGGTGGCCGAAAAACAGGTCCGTTTCGGCACTTCCGGTATTTCCAGACGACCCGTTTTTCGGCCTCCCGAGACTGCAGAGGCTTTCTTCAAGCCTCTGGGAGGACGAAAATGGCCTCAAACAGGCCAAAAATCAGCCAGAAGGTGCGTGCATGCTCAGTGCAGGTAAGAGAGCAGGGTGGGGGTGTTGCGCACGCATGCGCAGGGGGGCGGAGCGCATTGCATTGTGGCTGCTGGCATGCGGGCTATTGCACGCGCTTTCCGCACGCCACAACACAAAGGTTCGCCATCACTGGTATAGGTTCTCCTGCTTGCCCACCAGCAACCAGACAGAGAACCGGTTGCTAAAATTTTTGAAGCCCACCCCTGCATAGTAGCATGATATAAAAGCGTAGGCATGCATACAGGTAACCCTCGACTTACAACAGTTCATTTAATGACTGTTCAAAGTTACGACGACATTGAAAAAAGGAATTTAGGATAATTTTTCACAATTAGGACCATTGCTCTTTTATTTACTTTTGTATTTTGTAGTTTATAATATTTAATAAGTTAATAAAAATATGTTTGGAGAGAACAATTATGACCATCCCCATGGGTCACGTGATCAAAATTCAGATGCTTGGCAACTGACTCATAGTTATGACGGTCACAGCATTCCGGGTCACGTGATCCTCTTTTGCCACCTTCTGACGAGCAAAGCCAATGGAGAAGCCAGATTCACTTAACAACTGTGTTATTAGCTCAACCACCGCAGCGATTCATTTGACGACAACGGCAAGAAAAGCCATAAAGTGGGGCAAAACTCATTAACAAGTTCCTCACATGCTGCCTTTCCACATTTCCTAGTTAGAACTTACTTACCTTTAGAAGTGAGTACTTAGTAATTGTAACTTTAAAAGTAATGGTATTAATGTTAACAGTTTGCAAAAAGTTACTTGTATGTTCAAATCAGTGTCCTCTTTATGCATCTGGCCTGCTCTAATCTAAATTAAAACAACAGCAACAACCAGCTGATAACCCAAAGTTGCCCGGGTATTTATTTTTTCTAATCCTGTATTAGACAGGAAAAGCTCTTATTTCAGTGACCTGGAACAAACGTAATTTTTAATGTTGGATTTTCCCCGTTACCAGAGAGAGCCTCCTTGTGGAGTACTGTGAAGCTGTTCCCATGGCAACTCCATAGCACTGTACAGTAGAAGCCATTTAAGGCAGTATGGTAGAAGCCATTTGAAGGCACAACAGGCTGTATCTTAACAGAACACACATCCTGAGGGGTGTTAGACGTGTCTTACCCCCACAGTATTTGTTTCCAGGGAGTAAGTCATTAGTGTACTAAATTTGGTTGAAATTGCTCAAGGGTTAGGGTTAGGGTTAATGTAATTTCGAATGTTGGATTTTCCCCCGAAGAAGAAGAAGAAGAAGAAGAAGAAGAAGAAGAAGAAGAAAGAAAGAAAGAAAGAAAGAAAGAAAGAAAGAAAGAAAGAAAGAAAGAAAATATTAGAAAATTTGACCTACCCAAATGATGTCTGTAGAAGTGAGCTAAAGTTCACGACAGTTTTCAAAAAAACCTCATCGGCCTGAGAAGTTACCAGACTCATTATTAACAAGAGTCCTCACCCATAACATCTGATTAAATAGTTAATCTCACTGAGCTGGAAGCTGAAGAATGTTGTTACTACTATTAGTTGATTGAGATATTTGGTTAGTTTTGCAAAGTATCAATTTTCTTTTATTACATAGCAATTTGCAGCAGGTGGAGCAAGTGGTTGCTGAAAGAAAGGGAAGTTTGGGGTGTTCCCACTGCAGTTCACTCATTTTCCTTCTCTTGCCTTCTTCCCTAATTGTGCGTGCACTGTGTGTTATTGTTTTTTCACACTTTAAAAAACCCCTGCAGGCAGGAATCTCCGAAGTGTTGGCAGCCATTCCAAGGTCATGTTGCAAGACCAAATGCATTCAGGGTGAACCTTAACAGCCTGAGAAACTTCACAGCCCCGGAGAATACATCCAGAAATACGTGTGGTGACTGGGCACTGGAATTCAGCATGATAACAATATTTTCAATTTCTTTGAATTCTCCACCATTTTCTCTGCCATTCTCTCATTGCTCAGGAATCCATGAATGCCACTGTTACAAAGGCTGAAAGTTGGCAAAAGCTAAAATTAGTGTGTCCAGACTACCGTAGATGATTGAGAACAAGAGAACCAAATAGGCTCAGATAGATAGATAGATAGATAGATAGATAGATAGATAGATAGATAGATAGATAGATAGATAGATAGATAGTGTTCTGACCCAAACCTTGTTCCAAGGAAACAAGCACGAAACAGAGGTAAAAGCAAAACCTTTCAGTGATTCTTTACGAATTCTGTTCCTTCACGGTTAAAAGGCTGTTTCAAACTAATTGTCTCTAATAAGAACGAGCTTTGCCAAGGTTGTGCAAGGCTTCCAAGAACATGAGATAAAGTTGCCAAGAAATATTTCAAACATAAAGAATCTCCAAACACCAACCAAGATATTCCAAACGTCCACCAGGCTTGAGTGCAAAGACTTCTTTGCTTCCTGCAAAGAACTCCGGTTTCTCAGCTGGCTTTTATCTCTTAAGGGAGGGGCTTGCAGCCTTACGCCCGTCGCCCATGATGCTGCAGCTACTCTTTCCTTCAAGCAGCCCTACGCACACGCGCACTGGGCACAGGCTCCTCGAGGACCTCTTCATCGCTGCTGCCAGCCTCCACAATCTCTGAAGGCAGCACTCCACTCCCTGGTGGTCCTGGCCCCATCCCTGCATCTCATGCAGGCCCCTCATCTGAGTCCTTGCTCTCCGAGATCTCAGCCGTCCTCACCTGCTGTCAGCAAACCACAACAGATAGATAGATAGATAGATAGATAGATAGATAGATAGATAGATAGA